AAATTCCCTTTCCTTATCTCATTCAGAAACCCTTAAAACCGCTTCATCAGCAATTCTTTCTCTTAGAATTTTTCTTTCGTTCGTAACGAATTGTTATAATTTTTCTAAAGTGATTTTCATTTTACTGTGATCGTTAATTGGAAATCAGATCGTAACTAGGTGTCACGCATCTCGAAATATACGTTTCATCGTTGTAAATTAAAGAAGTAAAACATTCATGGAGGTTACGAAGGTATATATTTACTTTTTTTCTTCCCATCGGTAAAATGTCAACGATACGAATGGAACCTACATAGAAGGAACCAATAAATTTGACGATTCCCTCTTCTCGTACGTCACTCTCACGCATCACAAAAATATGTACGATTTTCTGCAAGCTCAGCAAAGGTCGGTCCTTTCTTCTTTGACGTACTTATGGGCTAAGCATATCGTAGAAAAAAAAGAAAAAGAAGAAGAGTAGAAAGCCTTTTTCCGAACGTGGTGGTAAATCATCAATTTCGCTTTTTTTTTTTTCTTTTCCCCCTGACACTCGGAGGTAGATATAAAAGAAAGTTCAACCGGTATAGTTAATTATATGGAATTATTCGCTGTCATATGCACGATAACAATCGCTATTGACGATCGCATAGTTTTTGAGTAATGTCATTTCACGTTACGTAATTCATCTTTTTATTTCATATATTCGAAGTGTAATGTTACATGTTATAATATGTAATGCGATAGCATATGATTTCACATGACGTGACATTAATGTATAATATTTTCTACCTTTAAACGTTATATAAAATCTCTATGTATATTTCGATTTTTTATTTAATTTTTTATTACACGTATGTATTCCAACTATAATGTCACGTAGTGTAATATGTAACAGGATAGCATGTGATTTCACCTGACGTGATATTAATATAAAATATTTTCTACCTTAAATGTTTTATATATATCTCTTTCTCTCTCTCTCTCTCTCTCGGTATATATATATATTTCTCTTTACTTCTCCTTTTTATTTTTCTCTTTTTAACATTCAACGCGATACATTGAAGCGACGATCGTCGCGACAATACATCAATTTTTCGAAGCGGAGTGAGTGTTCGCGTTAGTTTATTTGTCGAAAGAGTGAGGTCGAAGTCACACGGGGTGCAAAACAAAAGCGTTTTAACCGCAAACCAACAAGATAAATAGAGACGTGTGTGTTACGTTGCGCTACCAACCACCGACGTTGTTTTACTGCGCGTGAGCGTGATTGCTCTAGAAATAAAGAATAAATAAAAACGAAGAAAGAAATAAACCTTGTTAATGATTATCGAGTAATCGAGTAAGTAGGTTCAGTGTTGCAAATGGAAACAATCGAATTGAATTTGACTGATTATATCAATTCTCAATTATTTATCATTTCGATTCATCATTTTTCGTCTCGATAATTAATTTACATTTTTATTTTTTTTTTTTCATCTCAAACGCGCGAGACGATCGTACATAAAATTCGTGAATCAATCAGTTGAATTAGACTTGAACGTAAAGTTTCGATACATTTCTGAATAGCACGTCTTACGTCGAAATTCAATTCCTAGGATTCTATTTGAATTACTATCTGCATAATAAGACGGCAAACTTTAGATTGCGCCAGCTAAGTGGCAAAGTAGTGCATTGTTAATTTTATAGGCCGATTCAAGCTACGCAATTTCTACCTAAGAATATTCGCATATGCATTTATAATACATACGCATGTATTAATCATTTGAATTGCAGTTAAGACGAATGTGCATATCCCGCTAGTCAGAATTTTATTAACAATAAAACGAATTTATGAACAGTAGAACCCTTTCCCTATCTGTTTGAATAACAGAATAGAATAGAATAAACATTCTTTTAGGATTCGTAAAAAAAATTAGGTCGTTGAACTTGACTAAATCAGGAACTTGGAATCCGGGTCTTCGGTTTTCTGGGCCACTGCTTTAACCTTTGAACTATCCAAGGCTTTTCTACCTTTTTTTGGAATGGAAATGCACGATCCTATATATTCTTTTATATATCGAATTTTATTTATTCATATTGCAATGAACAAACTCGATACTCTGTTTCGATATTTAAAAATCCTATGTGTTTTTAACTGCCAAATCGTATAATTTTTGTAACAAATGTAATTGCATAGAACTATGTGTTAATAGTAATTTGCAGCTAGGATAAAGTACGTGTGCTTTAAAATATTGTATGTAATCATCGTTACAAAATAGCTATACGGATAACAGAACTTCCGGATACATGAACGTTCGGATATTAGGGTATTGGGATAATTAGGGTGCTGATACGGGAAGCTTTACTCTATGTAGTATATTTAACCAAGAAATTATGGGAATTTTCATGATTTTGAACAGATTCGAAATCATGAAAATACTTTCAAAGTAAAAATATTTCTTTCCCTTCCATAACGTTTTACTTACTGCTGAATAATTCCATTATTAACATAATGGTCCATCTATTTTATTGCTTTAACCATCAACAAAGCTAACGGTTTGTATTTTCTACTAAAGCACACCAAATTTCATTCGTTGACATAAATTATTTGTAATAATTATGATATATATATAGAATTTATAATATTTATCGTATCCATCATATTTATAATAGTTCATAATAACGCTTCTATCGTTGATTGTGTGTACGAATAACAAATATATACATATATATATATACATATAGGCAAACTCATTGGTAATAATTAATTCAGCAGTACTCATAAAGCTTATCAACAACGTAATTATTGGTCTTTGTATCGATAAATGCGAATTATTATTGAAATGAAAATTTACAAGGGTAGACAATCGTTTATATTTCAACTCGCGTAAAACGAAAACTTTGGAAGAAAGAAACAGAGAATAAGATAAGAATATTCGTTAAAAAATAATAATGACAATTTTTTAATAATACCGGATAAATAATAAATAAAATTTTCTAAGCGACGAGAGATAAAAAAGATAATTCTTTATCCCAATATATAACTTGTCTTTCCCATAAAACGAGCTCTTATTATAGCTCATACTACCGTTCAAATGTAGACGAAAGTAATCCTATTAAAACTTCGTAACATATTCTATATAAACATCCTGATCTTGTTGATATATGCATTACATTCGCAAAATTGAGATAAAAATCGACTACAACTATAGACTTTTAAAATAAAATGAGAAATAAATCGAAGCTTATCTACCTTTTGCTTGATGTTTTTTATTAAACAGAAATTAGTCTATTAATGAAATTCCTTGCACATTGTAATAATTTCACGAGAAATAATATCGATGAACGTAATCTTTTTTATTTTTTTTCTCTTTCTCTTCTCTCTCTCTCTCTCTCGCTCTTTTTTGTAAAAAATAAAATTTATCCGATAATTACGTTTCATGTTCGCTTCCTTTTAAAGCGAAAAGATGGAATTTCTTTGACGAACGCGAGTTAAAATCAACACTTTGTAACGATGCCTGGTACCGTTGTTACATCGTTAATATTACCTCATGGTGATAAGGTCGGGGCCTGACTCTGTCGTAAGTTCCTCGATGGTTTACAAGTTTCTCCGTGCGAATGTTTCATCATTCGATGGTATATTAACCCGTGCTAAGTTTAAGCCATTTGAATCCTCCTCGATAGAGATGTTCGAAGCTTAGCGGTGTAGCGATGGGCGTAACTTTAATAGCTCACAGATTTAACAGACTACGGTTTGATAGTAACTTCAGAACAACGTATCTCAATACTCTGCTAACATTTGTGGAAACCTCAAAAAAGGATCTCCGATCCTTTCGCAACGATTTCGTAGAAATATTATTTTCTCTTTCCCTTTTCTAAAACTCTAATAACAATCCCAACTCGTGGTATGTTATTTTATTTGATCTATCGTAAAAGTTGAATTCGTATAAAAATAACATATAGATAAAGTATAACCCATAACTATCTTACATAGTCCCTAACAATTAATCGTGTTGACTTACGAACCACTCGAGAATTACCTTGAACTTTTCGTTGCATTTAACGCTTACGAAGTCTAAGAAAATGTTCGCTGCTCCTGTAACATCAACTTCTTCTGTTTGAGTCATCCCGTCCTAACTTAGGATTACAAAGTTTCCGTTTATATTCTTACGATAAATACCATCAAACCCCTACCTCTCCCTTCCCCACCTCCTCCTGTCCCCAAGAGAAATAATTTTATATTAAAATTCGAACATTTTATCACGAGAATAATAATGTAATTTACATATACTTTCGAAAAACGTATATTTATATTAGAGTTAAATATTTTATCATTTTAATTAATTTACTTTATATAAACTGCACGTATATTTGTGGAAATATCATACACGCGTATTATATTTTATCTCTTGTTACATTTAAATACGGTATACGTATCCTACCTATCCTTAACAAGGTGGATGACACGAAACTTTGTAATCTCAAAGCAACACGCGCGTATATACACTAACAATAAAACAAATCCTAAATTACATAAGTAATCTCGTAATATTATAGAGAAATTTTCTATAATAATTCAACGAGATAATGATGTCATATTATAATTGATACGACTATGTATATGGATATAAATAATTTAACACCAAACTCCTTTTATATTCTCGTTCTAATAAAAAATAAAAATCCACGAAAGATATGACATCAGCGATATCGATTAACATAAAATTGTATAGTCTGCGAACATTTTTTAACACAATGGGACTATATTATTCATTCGTCGAGAGAGAGAGAGGGAAAGAGGAAAGAGTAAAATTCGAAACGTTATCGCAAGAAAGCATCTCCATTATCACGGCAACTCGTTTCCCCCTCGTATTCCTCATTGTATTAAGGTATACGAGTATATTTCAGTAGGAGTGCATTAAAGCACGATACGCGTACAAGTTTCGTATCTTGCATTTGCATTTAGGGTGGAAAAACGAACGTTGACATATTCGGAGGTATCTAGTTTCATGTACTCAAGAATGTCGGCGGGTCTCTTGTTTCAGGCTCTGGTGTACCGAGACGGAAACCTAGTTTCTGGATCCTTGGAAGCTTTAGTACAGCACATGGTACCAACTGAGGAATATTATCCCGATCGTGCTTACCTCTTCGCCTTTTTGCTAAGCGCGAGACTCTTCATCAAACCGCACGAGCTACTGGGTGAGGTTTGCGCCCTTTGCGAGCATCAGCAAAATCTCAATGGAGAAGGTGGAAAGGTGAGTTCGTCTCTCCTCTTTTCTATTCTTTCTTTTTCCTTTCTTTTTTCTTTCCCTTAGATATGCCTCTCTAACCTACCATCAAGAGCATGACTGCTAACGTGCGTTATCGTCTCGTTGCATCTCACTTCTCTCTCTCTCTCCCTTTCCTCTCATCACCATTCATCCTACCACACTCGTATTTCTTTCGGAGATAACGAGTTTTTACCGCTTTGCGAGTCAATTTTTAGGTCGACATTGTCCCATCAAAGTAGACAACGAACTACATTCTAAATAATTTTTATATAGACACACCAAAAAAATATTTTTCCATTGAATATATAATAAATTTATTATAAAAGTATTTGAATAATTTAGAATATAATAAAAATTAGATTAAACGGATGTTTAATGAAAAATAAAGGAAAATTCAAAGTAACGTAGATGCATCTTTTGAAAAATTCTTTTAATTATCGAGAAAGTGTAAAATTAAAGGGGTGCAAAAGGACGTATAACGAGGGCATATAACTATTAATAGTCATAGCTTTAAGAGAAAATGCAAATTAATCAAAGTAACATACGAATTTTGCAGGAACGACTACACCGTTTCGTGCCCCGACTGGTGCAGCTGTTGGCAGAATGGACGGAGACTTTCCCGTACGATTTTCGGGACGAAAGGGTGATGGGTCACGTCAGATCCATCACGCAGAAGGTTGCTGCGGTCGACGCGGCGGCGCGACAGGAAGTTTCAGCCTTGCTACAGAACTTACTTCTCAGGCTCACAGCCCTTGAGAGGTACGAGGAGGGCCTAGCTAGATTGGCCACCGAGGCGGCGACTGAACAGCTCACGCAGGTTCGTTCCTAACTTTGAAACGATGAAGCGTCATCCTACGACAAACCAAACGACCTAACAACCACGATGGATTTCCGAATTTTAACAGGACGAATTCCCTTGTGTCGTCTAACATGTAACTTGCTAATTGAAGCGAACTCACGACTCGTGTGGTAAACTCTCTTCCTTCTCCTTCTCTCTCTCTCTCTATCTATCTCTCTCTATCTCTCATCTATAACGTCGGATGAATAACGAGAAGTGAAGGAACACCCGATTCGGCTATCTAGTCTTTACCAAGGGATTTACGAGTCGTTGTAGGGAAAGTAGAAAATTTCCGGTTCGGAATTCGTCGATCGAGCTCGACGTCGCGGCTTACGAAGATAAATTGAGAACATCGAGAGATTCGGTGTAACCGAACCGATCCCTGTTAATATTCCATAGGCAATTTCGCTAATCCACCATTCGCCTCTTCTATTCCTATCACGCGCATGGATTTTATAGTCATATAATACTAGCTGCACTATCGTGTTTATAAGCACTCATCCCATGTTCATCGACCATCCTTACACTCTTCTCTTTCTCCCTCTTTCTCTTTCCCCTCTCTTCTTCCATATACGAATTCTCTCGGTTAGTATCGTGTAGATACGTGCACTTTGCGCAGTTAGGGGGTAACAGCGTTATTCCGCTAGTTTCCCTAGCACGAGAGACAGTAACTATTCCGTTAATTTGATTACCGTACACCTATCTGCCACCGCGTGTAACACCTGCTAATGGCTAATTTGCAACTGCATTAGTTAGTTAAATATGCCGACGCACGGGTCAAGCTCGCATCCTCGCTGCTCGGACCCTAATCAGGAGGAAATTGCGTGAACACCGGTATTACAGGATACTGATATCCATGGCTCTAACATCCAGAGAAATTGCCAATATATAACTTATGTCCTTAAACGTTTCCCCCCCAAAGTTCATTAACAGCTTTAACAGCTACGTGAGAGAATTTTCGACGTTGGCTAACTCAAGTCTGATTAACCAGAGTGATATGCTCGTAACTCATGGAAAAACTACCACGTACGATTTCACTTTGTTGCTACAACCGTAAAGTTCTCTCTCTCTCTCTCTCTCTCATTCTACTTTTGTAAAGAGTAGGAAATCGGTTAACAAACGTATCCCAGAAGCCAATAACGCCACGGAATTCTTTCAAGTAGAAACGTAAAAAGAAAAAAAAACACCAATGGAATCTTTCTGCAAGACTGTAAACGCGAGAGAGAGAGAGAGAGAGACTGCAACGTGCAGGTTTTAAAAAATTTATTGAATCTTTTGAACGTTCCTTGAATTCCACAGAAATGGACATAAAAAGAAGAAAAAGAAGAAAAAGAAATATATCTACTTAATTTCTCTCAGCTTTAAGAATTTTGGTTTGAAGTACATTAAATGTAAGAGAGAGAAGGAGAGAAGTTAACGAAAAATATGTGTTTATTATTATAATAAATTGCATTTATGGAAAATATAAATTATGATTTTACGAATGTTCACTTTATTATGAAAGAAACGAATGAATTCAAAACGACACGCGAACTAGTTTTATTATAATTATTTTTCTTTTGTTTTTTTTTTTTTTTTAGTCGTACGAGACACAGATATCTCGTTTACAAGCGAGCTCGTCGAAAAAAATCGTGTCATTTTCGTACAGCGAAGGTAGTTTCGAAAAATACGACGAACTTCGAGTTTAATAATCTGAAGCCCTTGTAAAAGAAGTAACTATCTCTCTCTCTCTCTTTATCTTTTTCGACGAGTCTACTCCTTTTATTTCTTTTCCGTATTTTTCTTTTTTCTTCTTTCTTCTTTCTTTTTTTATTTTTATTTCTTCGTTTGCTCCTCTCCGTCGAAGCTTTTCTCCTCTTTCTTTTCTAGCCGTTCTCGTTCGTCGGAGAAAAAGGGGGTGGAAGGGTGGCTGAGGGTTAGTACTAAGTAAGCGATTCAATGCACATACATACATACGAGCGAAACTAAGGAAAAACCGCAGCAAAGGAAAGTTCGCCTCGGCCGCTTTCTATGGATTAAATCTGTTGACGTAGCGACACGAGAAACGTTTTAAAGATGATTCGCCTGTTTTAAAAGAGAGTACCCCTACTACCCTCTTTTCGAAAAAGGCTACGAGTAGTTTCATTAACTTTAACGTCCTATTCGTTGAAAGATCGGGCTAGTTAAACGATGTTTTTTGTGTTAACAAACACGAGACTACCTTTTTTTAAAAACAAATTGCAAAAAGAACGAAGTTGATTTAAAAATACGTAAGAACAATATAATACTACTACTACTTTGTACCTGTACTTTTTCTTTTCAATAATATTTAGTCAAAAAATATATAACGTAACAGAGTATTATGAAAAATAATTTTAATCCCATTAAAGTATCGTATCATATACACGACACGGATAACAGACTTTTAAAAGATTAAGGGGGAGCTGGTGGGTAATGAAAAAAAAAATCGCATTCGAACGTGGCAAATGATTTTCTTGCCCGGATGAATCCCATCAGCGCGTTAGCAAGTCCTCGCTAATCGTTAGCAGCAAGAAACTTCTACGAATTCTGTTCAGGGTGGTGCAGCCGTAGAGAGAACGAGCCCAACTTATCGGTGTATTTCACAACGCGTCCTCCCCCTCAACCCGTAGAATCGCAGGTTGCATAACGTCGTAATACACTTCTTTGGTCACCATCGGATTATCTCGCGTTCAAAACTTGCGCAGTTTCCAAGTTCGTATTCGGAAAGAGGTTGGTAGACTCCCCTCATCCTCTATGCCGATTAAATTTCGTTAACGATTACAGAGACTGCCATGGACTCAGTGAATTTCTCTTCTAACATAGAATTTACCGGCACGACACTTTTAATCGTTCGCCATCTAACAAAGTTAAATTAAAATTCGGCTTCCTTTTACGAATTCTCGTGTTGTAATATACACGTTTAGGTATATACTGTTCGTTTGTGTAACCAGATGTAGATAAAAAATAAAAAAACAATAAAAATATCTATCGTTAGACGGTAATCTTCCATTAGTACTGTTCTCAAATATTCACGTGGTAAATGAATTTCGAAAGTGATCAATAATTTGTATACGAATTACGTTTGGCAATTACAAATCTTACGCGAGTGAATTACGAGTGAACCTCTAGGATTATCTTCTTAGATTATCTCACGTTTTCATAAGTTTCCGTTAAAATACGTAAACGTGAGAATGATCACGGATCAGTCATACGGACATTTCTCCCTTTGCTTTAACACAATGTAAGGATTTAATGTATTTCGACACATAATCATTCGACCGAATAAAAGAGACCTCAAGGTTCCATTTGCTTCTAAACCGATCATACAGTTCAACGATCTCATTCGTCCTTACTTTGGACATTCTGCTTTATCCAAAGAAAGTACTACGTCTATGCACACATACATACACGCGTTTTGTTCGAAACCCACGATCGACACTTCTACCCTGTTACTGTTTCTATTTCCATAAAGTAAATTTTGTGTAATATCATTCGGTTCGTTCGTTTTTAATATCGATCAAAATTATTTTTATTTCTAGGAATAATACAACACGAGATTTACCTTTTTTAAAATGATAATTTAAGAAATCATGTCAAAGTTATCATCGACCTATTCTATTTTTATTTGCTGAAAATACTTCTCTCTCATCGATTTATTTCAAACTGTCTCTAAATATAAAACGAAACGAGTTTGACGCGTTCCACGAAACTCATACTATTTTCGGTACATACCTGAACTTATTTTCCCGACCGAGTGACATTTTTGATCGGTGATAAATCAAGAATAAGAAATCGATAGGGGGAGTGCATCGCAATTTGCATCGATGAAGTTATTTCTATTTTATCTATCTAATATGATTATACGGTTCCAATTATTCTACAAATAAATAAATGGCCAATTAAAAAAAAGAAAAAAGAATCTACAAATTATAGACAAATTTAACGTAATCGTCAAACTGTAATCGTGTATTATTGTTGGTATAAATGGCATGATTACGATGTTTGTATCGATATTTTCAACATAGATATTTAAATCACGTAACATGAAAAAGGAGAAATGAAATAAAGTATACACAAAAGAATAGGAAAATAGTAAAAGAAGGAAATGGAAGAAAAGGTCATGCAATTTCAATATTCTCTGGTCTCGTACGCAACTTCCTTTTGAAGATTTCGTCTAACCATCAATATCGAAAGGATAGAACAACCTCTCTTAACCCGGTTCAAGTGAGAGAAAAAGTATAAAGAGCATTGGGTGATCTAACTTAAAATGCACTTTGACTTCCGATGAACCAAACGATCCAACGTTATTTTCTCCATCTAAATCTAATCTCCATATATTTATTTATTTCTTTATTTTTATCTCAAATATATTTTGCTAAAGAATTATACAAATTTTTCTTACAAATTTAACGACATCTTCTTTCATTTCGTGAAACGAGCTGTATTAATTCTATAAGCTTCTTAAAAGAGATTAAAATATTAACAAAAAATGAAGGATAAAAAAGAAAGAAAAAAAGCATCTCTTTTTTCATGAACCAATTAAATATACCAATAAGACAATTAAGAACGATTAAAACGTTGGCATTATCGACGTTCTTTCTTTCTCTCTCTCTCTCTCTCTCTCTCTCTCTCTCTCTCTCTTTCCTAGTCTTTCAATGTTATATAGTATGAATCATATAGACGAATAATTAAAAATACTTCGTTGAGCAATTAGCTATACTTAACGTATAAATTCATTGCTAATTACCATTTTTCTGCTTGATAAAACAGCCTCGTTGCTTTTGATTATTGCTTAACAAGTTGATTGCTTAACAAGTAGATTGCTTAAACGATTGCTTCTTAGTTTAACAAAGACTCTCTTTTGCTTTTTCTATTCGTTCGTCGTTTTATTATTTTCGGTCGTCTAGTTTGGTTGTCCAACTTGAAGAAAATGTAGGTCAGGCTTTCGTCATTTCTCAACTCTCTATCTCTCTCTCTCTCTTGTTGCATCTATTCGTCACATGTCATTTCTTTTCTCGCATAGCCGGAAAAAATAGGTTAATAGCGACGATATTTCACGAACATGCTCGACATCGTTACTCTCATCAACGCAAAGAAGAACCACGCAAGGATGTTGCTGCTGTTGCTACTGTTGATGATAATCTCAATGTGTGTGTGTATGTGTTGTTGATGGGAAAACGAACAAGGGGATGTTTTCTATCATTCGGTCAACCACGAAGAAGAAGGAAAGAAGGAAGGAAAGAAAGAAAAACAATTAAAGAACTTGGAACTAATCCGGTTTTACTTGTCCACACTACGATACAACCAAGAATCCATTCTCATTCGGGACGGAAATAAATAATAGGGAACATAAAGACTATGGATAGATATGGTAGTATAAATAATAGGTTAAGATACGTGGAGGAAATATGATGGTAGTAGTGGTCAAACCAATCGTCCAACCTGTCTTCCTTATGGTTTTCTTTATTTCCTTCCTTCTTGTTTGCCAAAACATGTCGGAGTCTCCTTTTTGTCACGCGAGATATATGATCATTCATGAAATTACGATTTTATTCTGTCATATATATATATATAAAGAAAGAAAGAGAATGAGAGAGAAAATGTAAAGGATATTACTGCAGTTGGAACGATAACGACAAAAAGTCCAATTGGTCTTATGTAACATTTGAAGAAAGTGGGACAACGAGTTTAATGATTACAGTATTGTTGGAAACTCTTGTAATTTGGATTTTTTTATCTGGATAAATAATGGACTATCTTCTTTTTGTCCTTTTTATCAGATAAATATATTTATTGAAATGCTTTGTCGATGTATCAAATAATATACAAGATATCTAAAAAAATTATCCAACCAAATGATGCAAAAATGCAACAACAAAGTGTTATATTTTTTGTGCATAAAATACGTTGAAACAGTTTGACTGAAACGAAATGTTCAGACACCTTGTATAATATGTTGAAAGATACTGAAATATGAAATATGAAAAAGAGACTGCATGGCAGCTCGCTTGATGACTAAATTGAAAAACAAACGTACTCTTGAAATCATATATTCTATTCTACTAGCTTTCCTCCTCGAATTGAATAAATAATAAAACTAAGCAAATCATTCATAGAGAGAGAGTTGCGAATAATATAAAGTTTGCAAGAATAATAGAATACACTGCGAAACTCTCTCTCTCTGTCTGTCTGCCTCTCTCTCTTTCTCTCACTCTCATCGATACAAATACGATTGAACTAACGTCGCACGTGAAATGTTCGATCGTTCTAACTAAAGTCAACAAAAGCGTAATATTTTGATATCGCAAACAACACAAACGATCCCGTTCCTCATTCCACTCGTAGAAAAATGAAAGAAATAGAAAAAGAAATGATAACGCGCATTCGATTGCTACGGAAAGGGATGGTGGTATGAAAACAAAAAAAAAAAAAGAAAAAAGGTCCATGAGAAATGACAGAAGTTTTGTTCGTATCTCGAAAGCCGAGAGTGCTTAAAGTAGGGAGAAAGAGAGAGAGAGCGAGAGAAAAAGAAAAAAAGGTGAAAAGAGAGAAAGAGAGAAAGACATTGGAAAGAATTGTTCAGAATAGTGGAAACGGTCAACGAAGGAGAGAGTTGGTCAGATGAGTTTCATGGAACCACAGGGAGGATATAAATTTTAGCAAGGTCGATTCGACCAATGGCGAGAAAGGAATAGTGAGAAAAAGAGAAAGGAAGAGATGTCTCGAGCACCAACCTTCCAATCTCGTGAAAATATACGAGTGGAACTATCTGTCGGAGTTTCTCTCTTTCGTTTTCAAGAAAGAAGACCATAGGCGAAGTGTCGGTGTAACTTTGAGAACCGAACAAATCGGAAAAAATCTTTATTAAAGAGGCACTATCTTCTACCTTTCTCTCTCTCTCTCTCTCTCTCTCTCTCTTTTTGAAAAAAGAAAAAGAAATTTTTTCTATTTACACGTTTCCCGAACGTTATCGTATACCTTTCGGGCCAAAAGGAGTTGCCGATACGCAACACGCCCACATCGAATTACGAGATTGTAGTATAAAAGTTTGGTAAAATCGGTGCCACGTTCGTTTCCGATACCACGTTCGACTACCAACCGAAAGCTTTTTCGAGAACCTCCGCGATAGTCCGAGATAAGAAGTTGGTCTTGGGCTCTGGGTGTTCAAGCTCGACAAAACGCGAGACGCGAAATTGAAAGAGAAGAGACACGGCCGACGAACGTCGCGACAATACTCTCATCTTTTTCTTCTTCTTTTTCTATTTCTTCTTCAAGAGAACGCCAATCCAGGCCACCACCCGCTACTTCTCTTTTTCCTTCTTTAAATTTATTTTCTCTTTTTCCTCCACATCTCTCTCCTAGATGTCAAGCCTGTTATCCCCTTGCTTTTTTTTTTTCTTTTCCTTTCCTTTCCTTTCCTTTTTTTTTTCTTCTTGATATTTTTCTACTATTCTTTTCACATCGTAAAAGAAAAAGAAGAATCTTCCATTTTCATTCTCACAATGCTTTTCTGTCACTTGGTCTTTCAGGTGGACATTACCGAGCTCTGTCCTTCTGCCACGGTACTGGCACAACAATTGACTCACGTGGAACTCGAGAGGCTCTCTTACATCGGCCCCGAGGAATTTGTCCAAGCGTTCGCTAAGGTAACATTCATGATACATGAATTCCTTTTCTTTTCATTCCAAATAAAGACTATCTCTCTCTCTCTCTTTGTAAAGAAGAAAAATAATTAAAACTAAATAAATAAAGAGAAATGAAATATCACGTTAAATATAGATACTCTCATACGATACTTTTCGTTCATTTTTCTTTACAGGAATCACCGCATTTGGAAACATCTTTCAAGGATATGAAAAAGACTCGAAATTTGGAGTCTTACGTTCAGTGGTTCAATCGATTGAGTTATTTCGTAGCAACCGAAGTGTGCAAGGTAATAAATCCAACTTATCGACGTATGATCTCCAAATTTTGAAGACACGAGCATAATCGATATTAACGTTCATTTTCTTCTATCCTTTTCTTTTTTTCTCCTAGCACGCAAAAAAGAAACAACGCGTGCGCGTAGTAGAATATTGGATAGAAACTGCGAGGGAATGCTTTAATATTGGCAACTTCAACTCACTGATGGCGATCATTGCCGGTTTGAATATGTCTCCAATATCGCGGCTGAAAAAGACGGTAAGTAGTTATAGATCCTTGAAAAATCAATCGGTTATTCACCGATGATAGACTTTCGAAAAAAGGTGTATGTGTGCGTGCGTGTTTAGAAAAGGGTTGTAGAAAAAAAAAATGAAAAAAGGTAGAATAATCTCATCCAAACAAATGTGTCACATCGATAGTTGTAATTGTTTAAACGAAAATCATTCCTGGTTATACTCGTTTACACGCAATGTAACAGCGTCAAGAGAAACTCGTGCCTGCGTGAAAGAGAAATGAAAACGTATAGGGAGGGTGGGAGGTAGGGAGGGTTGGTTGGTTGGTTGGTTGGTTTTAGAGACGAAGGGGTAACCGGAAGCAATAAGCGGCCTGTAATCCTCGTAAATCGAGCGTGGCGCCGCGACGCCGTTGCCGCGACGCCGTTTCCCACGTTACTGCTGACAAACCAACGAGAATCGAATTTCCGCATCGTTTCTCTCTGTTCGGAATGGACGACCGGATGAACGAACGGCATAAGCTTGAAAAATAAAGAAAATAACAACGCGCTTGTAAAAGAAGTTAGGAGAAAGGAAAAGAGGGAAAAGAACAAAAAAAAAAAGGACCGACCAAAGTACGAATTTTATAAGAGGAAGAGAGAGAGAGAGAGAGAATGAGTTCTTCAAATTAATTTAATTGAATTTTGTTCAGGACCCCCGTTCCTGTCGAACATTGAAAAGAGTGAAGAATATAACATGAACAACTTGAACGAATATACGTATAAAGGGAGGAGGGTGGTCGCAATGAGAGTTAGAAAAAAAAAAGAGAGGGGTAGGGAGAGTGAGTGTAGTAGTGCTAAGAGAAATGTAGGTCGTAATCTGAATTAATCAAAAAGTTTAATATCGACCTAGGTTTGACCATCGTGCGTCATCATCACTCTCTCTTTCTTTCTTTCTCTTTCTCTCTTTCTCTTTCACTCACTTTTCTTTTATACTTTTAACAAACTAATTATCCTTAATTATTGAGAATTTAACATACGTATGAGTTTTAAAAAGAAATATATTTAAATTCTAATTTAATCTGCTGAGATCATGTTAAATTATATGAAATCTAGGTAATGAAGAAGATAAAAATCATGGGATTAAGTTATATTCGAAAAAGTTAATATCAATAAAAGTATCAAATTTTCTTGATATGGTAAAAGACTTTTGAAATGGGATATTATTATATTCGTGCATTCGAAGTTGCTATAGTGACATACGTAAAATGACCGAGTTGTCAGCAAAGGCTACCACCCCTTCGTGCGATAGTTGAAAAGAACGAAAATGACGTTCTGATTGCTATGTCTGACTATACGCTTCTGTTGCTTCTTTAATATCGCCTTCGCTATTCCTCTCTTTCGTACAATCATTTCTTTTTTTTCATTTCTTTCTTCCTTTATTTCTTTTTTTTTTTCCTCTACGCTTGTATGCTTTTCCGAACATCCTCATGAGAGTAATAGGAACGAAATGCAAGCACGTACCACTATCGTAAGCTTCTTTGACGAATTGAAAAATCTCATTTAATAAAAATGATTTCGAAGAGTTTTTTACGTGATTAATCGAGATATCGAAAAATAGATGGCTGATTATGCATGTGTACAAATAATTTATAGAGAAAATCGCGTTTGAAAATTATTTATTCAAATATATTCTCCTTACTATTTTTTAGATTTTTAATAATCATAAAAAGAACTACCATACATATATACATTCAATTTATTTATCTCTGCTGTATCCTGTTGTTTACAATATTCGGCTACTACCGTTGTGTAATCGTTACAGCTTGATCGATAGAGACAGAATATATGTAGGAAAAACAAAGTCATTCGACTAAAAATCAAACGTAAACATTACGTAGGATAATAAAAACGAAAGCTTACGCGAAAGAGAAAATGTTACATTAACTAATCAGTTATTAAAGAGATATTTCAGTATACGCATCATACATTTAACAGAATTTTTAAACAAAATTTGTTCGAAAAGAGAATTTTTACCAGTGAACGAAAAATATTATTCTTTTCATTCGAAAATCATTATTAATAGCAGTAATAATAGAAACAATTATCGTTCGATTATAACTCGCTATTATTTAAACTTAAATAAATATTTGATCTACTATCTATAGGCTCCCAACTTTTCAACGATACCATCCACGGATACAAGAAATCGAGATAATAAAAAATTTGGCAGGTAGGAGAGAAAAGAAAATAGACATTTTCCAAGAACAAAATGAATCGTATCGATCGTTCTTCATACGGTAGTTTCTGTCACGTTGGCCAAACTGGTATAGATCTTCCATTCTCCTATGATTCTCATTCGTCGAAAGAGGATGGTCAAGCGCTATTCGAGGTTCATTTGGTCTCTCGCTGACTGATTTATATAGGGTGGTACGCAGGAAATAATTGCAGCCTTCTCTCATCCCTTCCTCCCCGAACCAATAACCGTGCGAAGTATGAGAGACCAGCTTCGTAATTTTCGTTAATGAAAATTTATCGCTCATATTTGTTGACCACTCGGCTTCGTTTCCAACGGAATACCAAAGAATCGATGAAAATAATTGACGCGCGCGCGAACGTATTTCCGGCTCGCGTGTTCAAGCTGACTCCAATGGATTTTTCGCGATTTTTTACGTTTTTTTCTTTCCATTTTTTGTCTCTTTCTTTTCCTACACCACCACCACCTCTATCACCACCACCCCTCCTCTCATTCCTTCCCCTCCTTTTTTAGTTCATTTTTAGAAATGCGAGAGAATTTATAACGTGCATCGTTTAACCGTGCAATTAGCGCGATTTTCATTACGACGCGAAATATCGCCGCGTGAATTCTCGTTTATTCTTTCTTTTTACTTTACTTTACTTTTTTTTTTGTTTATCCTTTTTTTTTCATTTCGTATATTGTTCCCTTTTTTATAAAGTAAAATCGTATGTGTATGAACACCACACCGAAGCGCTCTTATTTTAACAAAAATGCGATCAGACATAGTCGAAATTTTAATCGCTCGAATAATTACAACGAAATATTATAAGAAAAATCATTAATAGGTTGAATTTTTACGAGATAATTATCCATGTATGCGTATGTATAATAAATATGCATCTATCAGGCATATAAAAATGCATATACATACATATAGGACGTATATACACATAGGTAGATAAAATAGGAATCAAAACCTCTTTCGTTCGTTTCATACAATATTCCCTTTGCGTCTGGTGTTACGTCGATAAAGCAACGAAAAGTTTCGACCTTTACGAAAGGGAAAGAAAAGGGCTACTAGATAACACTAAAAGATAATTCATTTACTACACGAGGATGATTTGAAAACGACATCTTCCTTTACATCTTTCTTTCTATTCTTTTTTTCTCTTTTTTTCTCGGTTTTCTTTTTCTTTTTCAAAATGTAAAACGAACGATACTCGAATCGTTATCATGAAAGAACTTAATTACCTACGATTGCGACGATTCTTACCTTTACTCTCGTTATCGTAGTGAGAAAAAAAAAGGAAAAAAAAAAAAAAAGAGAAAGAGAGAAGGATGAGAAGGGAGAATGACCGAAAGAAAAATTTCATAGCGCGAAAATGTTCAAAGCTAAAGTGATGTAGACAAAATTTAAATTGAGTTTTGAAAGAGTAGGAAAAAAGTCACCAAACGAAGAAGAAGAAGAAGAAGAAAAAGAAAAAGAAGAAGAAGATGAGAGTAAGTCCCCGTACTCTTCTACGGGATATTCGTTCTTACGTTTGATTTTTCTCTTCTCGTAATATCTTCGCAAAAGGAAAAGAAAACTTTAAAAGATAACGCGATGTAAAACAATATTCGAATCTGAGTTACGAATGGTTCGGTTTATCGTTTGGTTCTTATATAACGAAACATTTCTCGATAAATTGGAATTTGCAATTGACAAACCGCAAGTTGTGTTTGCTCGTTCTATTTATCTCATCGAAGATTTTCTCTACGATTCCCTTTGAGCATAAACCACTGTCCTTACCATTTACCACATATATATATAATGTATGTATCTATGTATATACAGTATATATATATATGCAAGTATATATGCGTACATACATATAGTAGGATACACCATGCTTTTCTCTCTCTCTCTCTCTCTCTCTCTCTCTCTCTCTCTCTCAACATCTCAGTTTCAATTTACTGCTTCTGCAGACTCCGCGATTTTTCTTATGTATTTTTTTCCCCTCTTTCTCTCCTTTCTTCCTGCGTAACAGGAAAAGCATTTCCTCAAGAATAAGTTGAATCTAGTCGCACCAAGAAAAATGACTCCCGTGGCGCATGCTGAACGAAATTCTCTCTCTCTCTCTCTCTCTCTCTCTGTCGTTTTCAAGGATACTACGGAATTAGTTGCTCTCGATCGAATTTTAAATTCTATACTATCATATTTTTCTGTAATTTTTTTTTCATTATATATTATATTCCAATTTTCTTCTTAAAAAGCTGATATTTGTTAAGGAGAAAATTGATATGATAGGACGATAGAATAAGGAAAAATAAAAAATAAAGTGTATCGTTCGATCAACGTTTGATTTAACCTTTTTCACAACGTTCATTATTTCGTAAATCTTGTCGATCGATTATGGAAGATATATAAAAATGATATCAATCAAAGAAACAATGATGTTTAGGTTGAAGGTGGTCATTTTAAAGGAACGTCGTTTGATATATCTTTAAGAAAAGAATTAAGGATGAGTAACGAAGCAAGACATCGATAACAACGTAGGAAAACCATGCGGCCCGTTCGTCCGAGCGTTAATTCTTGAATTAAAGCACTGGTGAGATACGAGAGAATAAACGGAATTAATTCCAACGTCTATGTCCACGTCGACGACATTTTCGTCGTCCTCGAAGTTAATTTAATTACGTCGTCGCAGTTACCCCAACTACTACTTTGCTAGTAGTAGTACCAGTAGTAGTAGTAATAGTAGTAGTATATTAGTAGAGAAGTACAGGAGATGCCACAGGAAACTCGCGGTGCCACGTCGCGCTTGATTTCGGTCGAAAATTATTTCGAGTACGTCACTCTACTTTTGGACATAATACGCAGGAAAACGTGTCGTGTGACACCCACGAGTACCGTGTATCTTTCTCTTTCTTTCTTTCTTTCTTCTATACCCCTTTTTCTTTCCATCATTTCGTTCTACTTTTTTCTATTACATCATAACAGAAAACTCTTTCTTCGATGTTGCCACGGATAGATTTCTATCGTTCTCTTTTTTCCTCTTCTTTTCCTCGTTTTGTTTAAACAGATCATTATGCGCCTCTAGTGCTTTGTAAAATGTTGCCCCCCCCTCCCTCTTCCCCAATACGACCATATTCGTTTCAATGCTCGATAGCATACGTTGTTAGAAATTCTATTCGCGAGTTCGGCACGATGCCAAGTTCAAAGGCTCTTGACCCTACCAATTCGCCTTGCAGAGACTGGATCTGAAAATGGAAGATAGATCGAGAGAGATGGGTAAGGTGAAACTAGAAGAGCCACTAACCTAGGAGGATTTGATAAACCCCGATCCGTGGAGATTTCGAATTCCTTCTAACAATTTGATCCTACTGCACAACGTTAAGACGAATTCCAATCCATTTATCTTGAAATTCTTTATATACTTTTATATATTATCCTAAAATATTCATTTAAAAATTGATAATAATTGTATGTGTGTGTGTGTTATGATAATTGACAAGTATCGTACAAAAATATTATGAAAATAATCAAATAGTGTAATATTTCCATAGTGCATCAATGCAATTGATAAAACAACCCTTTTCAATTACACGTATTGGCACACCTCCGTCAACTTTTGAATTATATATTTCATAATCATGAAGATAATCATTCTTTTGATTCTTACAGTGGTCTAAAGTACAATCGGCCAAGTTCTCGATCCTGGAACATCAGATGGATCCAAGTAGCAATTTTAGCAGCTATCGTAGCACCCTAAAGGCAGCAATGTGGCGTAGCGCCGGCGCTACGGATGAACGACAACGAATCGTCGTGCCCTTCTTTAGCCTGTTGGTCAAGGATCTATACTTTCTCAACGAGGGTTGCAGCAACAAGTGAGTTAAACTTACATGTAATATATTTTAACATACATATACATATATATATTATATGTATATACATAAGTTTAATGGAATTTCAAGCGGTGGGCTGAGAATTTAATTAATAGAGCGTGACATAGGTAGGCAAACTGCATGGTCAACCTGTCATTCTATGTTGTTGCTAATTTACTAGTAATTGTTCTACATAGATATATACGTTATTATAACTAGAGCATTCTCGACACTAGTGAGAGGTAGGAGAGGAAGTGGACGGACGAGTCCCCTCTGACGTTTAATTGATGCCAACGCGAGAACGACGAGACAGTCAGAGAGAGAAAGAGATAGCGTAGTTAGCATCTACGTGACACAAAATAAAACACGTAACATTCGTATCATGTTTTTCATGCAGCTTTTCATGCTTCCAGGCGGTAAATAAATTTCAACGTTGGCTTATTCTAACCAAATTTTTTTTTATCCACGTTAACATTTCTTTTTTTTTTGTTTTTTTTTTTTTTTTTTACTTATTTTTAAGTTACATCAACGGAAAAAGAAACGATAATTTTTAGATGCTAATAATTAGTGGAACCCCACCCTGTATATATATATATATATTTCAATCAAAAATTCTCGATTACTTTCGAAGAGAAGTTTTCCTTGTCGATCTTCGCGAAATCCTTCTTACGCGGCGTTTCTCATGCCGGGATTATTAATCTCAGAGAAAGCAATATGTCGACGTATCGGGTCGACGTCGCTTGCAGAACTCATCCTTTTCGAGAATCTTATTTATTACATTTACGAACGTGACATTACGCGCCCACTTGTACGTGTAAACTTATTAAACTTATAATGGCAAAAGTTATATCCTGAAAAAGTCGGGGAAAAAGAAAAAGAAAAATTAAAAAAATATACAAGAAATATGAAAGGCTTCTAGGAAAAAGAAAAACTTGAGAATACTGTCCTCTCTCTCTCTCATTTTTTTTTTCTTTTTTTATTTTACCCTCTAGAAATTATCCGAAAAACGCAGAACGATTATGTTCATGTAAAAAGTTTTCGATCGTTGATAGAAGTATAAGTGTAAGAACACATACAATCGTTTTATAAAAGAAATTAATAACATTTTTTTTTTCATTTGATCATGTTACAGACTACCAAACGGGCACATCAATTTTGAGAAATTTTGGCAACTGGCAAAGCAGGTTACGGAATTCATCGCGTGGAAACAAGTAGCCTGTCCGTTCGAAAAGAATCCTAGAGTTATAGCCTTTTTGCAAGCGAGTCCTGTGTTGACTGAAAATGGTAAGAATAAAGAATTATTTTGTATTATAATCCCCTTGACGATAATGTGAACGATATTTGTTCATTATTATAATTTATTTTATTTATTTTTTTTTTTATAGCATTGGCTTTAGCATCATTCGAATGCGAACCACCTGATAATAATCCCGAAAAGGAACGTTACAAAGCTTTAAAGTGAGTACACGACTTATAAGATAGTTCAGTTTTTTTTTTTATATATAACTATTTGTAATATATTACAATATATTGAAAAAAAATATTTTTCTTTCGAATGATCATTTAAAAATATGTGATTGTATTTATTAAACTAAAAATATTTGCAGGTCTGAAATGAACGCCCAGTGAAAACAAGATTCGCTGCAACACGTTGAGCAGGAACGTTACTGATAAAGAATAGTATATATACGTATATGTATACATATACATATATACACTGTTCTATATACATATACATATACAAACAAGTTTATAAATAATTAATATATTCGTTACGGTATCCAGTTAAAATCTCCTGCGAAAAGAGAATGTGTTCTCGATGGGAGGAAGGAAAAAAGAAAAAGCAAGGAAAGAATAAATAAGGAAGTAAATAAGGAAGAAAGTAAGAAACGAAGAAAAAGACAGAAATAAAGCTAAAAGGACACATTGAGAAGAGGAATAAACTAGAAAGAAAACAAATTCCAAATATAAAAAAAGGAACGGTTTTAAAGTATTAAACGGAATAAGCCTAACATCGCGGATGTTGTAAACTCGTCGTATCACATGATTGCACTCGCGATTAAAAATTGCGCTATAGTGAGATCCTCGCGTTGTTAAAAATCGATTAAGCATCTGCTTGACCCGTATAGTCATCGGCAATGTAAAAATGAAGCTCGAGCCGACCTCGTTGCGATACGGATGAAAATGTAATCCTTCGGGTAATATTCCTGACGGCCTTGGTAGGCCATCGACAAGAGAGTAGTATAGCTGTATGAACGTATCGAGCAGTTCGCGATTAAAAAGCAAGGAAAAGTAAAGGTATGGACTTGCACGATGAGTTATGCTCAGATGTAGGCCAACGTTGTGTCGATGGGGTGTGGGTTGTGGGTGGAGTTGGGAATGGGGGCTGGGCAAGATCGATTCGCTAAATAATTTTTCACGATTGCAAATGACAATGCGGGTCTCGCGAGATCGAATAAACAGACCTATTCTTCGAAATCAGATTTCGGAATTGATCTGTTATTTACATTTAAAAAAAAAATAAAAAATAGAGAGAAATAAATAGAAAAGGGGAAAGAAAAGAAAAGAGAGAGAGAGAGAGAGAGAGAGAAAATGAAAGAAAACTTAAAAAAGAAGATGCGAGATTTTCCTTTCGTTAGAAAAAAAAAAAAAAGAAGAAGAAAACGAGACATAAAAAAGAAAAAAAAAAGCAAGAAAACGTTAGGAAAATTATCAGCTTCTACGAGCGAAAAAAAGGAATCCGTTACTAAACTCGCGGATGATATTAAGTATTTATATGTAATGTATGTATTTTACGAAGAGAAAATGATTTCGCTCGGACAATATCGCGCGTGAACAGTAAGTATAGTTCCTAAGTCCGAGGCCCAAGTACCGGCTGAATCTCGAAAGTTCTTCGAATATCCTCCTTTACGTATTTTTCTTTTTTCTTTTTTCTTTTTTTTTCTTTTTTTTGTTTGCTTTTCTTTTCCAATGAATATTATAGGAAAGAGAGAATGACGAAAGATCGACGAAAATCTTAACGAGAGAAGAATAAGAATAAGAAGAAGAAGAAGTATAATCGGAGTATTCTCGAGAAACGATCCGTGACATAGCCGAATCCTTTTGTACATATTCCTTTTGATATAACGCTAAACGGACTCCTAAGTGTCAGAAGTAGGTTCGTTCCTGTAGTTTCTAAGTTCGAATATAGAATCATAGATATCCGATAAGAGAAAGAGAGAGAAATAATTAAAAACAAAAAAAAAAGAGCCACACTATGATCATTGTGTCCGTACTTAATAAAGTCATAGAGAGAGAAAAAAAAGATAAAAGAATAAAATGAAGAGAAAAAGAATAAGAAAAAGAAAGAGAGAACTAGAGATAGATAGAGAGACGATGAGAAAGTCATAAGAACTCGTACGTGGTGTTAAAATCAGTGTATGCAATATTTGCCTGTCGTTCAAATAATTCTAACGACGTGATCGACGTTAAAAAACAAACGAATCGTTTTAAAATACCGTTCTCTGATAATGTCTGTTTGAAGGTCTTGCAAAATGATTTAGGAAAAAAAAGAAAAATCTAATACGTTTGACAAATGAATGAGAAACGTATTGAACCGGAAAATAAGAGGGGAAGAAAGAAAAGAGGGGGTCAAACGTTGGAAAGATTCAATCAAAACGTTCGATCTAAGACAATTACATTGACTTTTACGATCTCGAATCGGAAAGAAGAAGAAATATGATAGATAGATCATACGATTTTACTAATATCCGGCGTTGTTTTCTTTCTTTGCCTGCACGTGAACTCGAGAGTACGAAAGGAAAACCTTCTTCAAATATTTAGGGACCAAGAGTTCGCTTTTCCTGGGTACATAGCGCAATCCGAGTCAAAAGATAAGAAAATGGGAAAAAAGAATAAGAATAAGGTAAGATAAAAGAAAGAAAAATGAAAGGGAATAAAAAGGATAAGGTATAGAGGTAAGAAAGGTAAAAAGGGGAAAAGAAATTAAAACGAAGTCACGAACAATAGCAACGTTTTACCCGCCCCGTTCGCGAAAGTGCCGAAATATAAGAGCGGATATTAAAAAAAAAAGAAAAAAAAAGCAAAAGAAAAAAGAAAAAAATAAAGGATGAAGATCTCGAAAATGTCCACGAAAGTCAACAAAATGATCGCAAGTAACAAAGAAAGTATAAAAATTCATTGATCGATCGAATCGCGAAAAAATAATCCGTGAGTCATCGAACGCCATGGACACTCTACTCTTGCCATTCTTTCCATTTATTTGAATATAACAAACGATCACGTAATTTTTATTTTTCTTCTTCTCGTGTCGCGTCTAACGTGTAAAAACGTGTGTGTATTACGAATTAACGAAGTCGTTTCCATCATTAGGTTCCTAATATAATAAATATTTCAAATAAAATAATATACGATCTTCATCCTTCACAAAGTAGAAACGCATGAAAGTACATTATTACAAAATATAGCGAGATCTTTGTAATAAAAATTAATTAAAAAGAAAATACCCTCCCATCCCCCCTTCAAAAATAACAAGAAGAAGAAGAAAAGAAACACGACCGTACATCGAGAAAAGCGAAATTCTTGAAAAAAAAAGAAAAAGAAAAATATAAAGAAAAGAAGAAAAAAGAAAAAAAAAAGACGTTTATAAAGATACACCGTTATAGTATAATATCGTATAACATAATAATGGGAAACGATAAATAAATAAATATATTGCGATATTCGTCATAACGTAAATGACAGTAAATAATACGGTTATACGTACGAGTTCTCTGTACGATAAGAAACAGTAAAGAATTTTCCGAGGATATGTAGATATCGTATTTCGTTATTCGTCTCGTTGGATATTATCATCATCAATTTTATCATCATCTTCGTCGTCGTCGTCGTCGTCGTCGTCGTCGTCGTCTCGAAACTACTGAATGCACTTTTAATCACGAACTGTTAATACGTAAAGTTAAAATTAACTGTTTTCCTTACTTCTTGATAAAACAACTACTTTCATACGATCTTTCAAAGAATCTCTTCGTCCTATCATCCGGCAAAAACAAAGTGTCCGAATGTTCAATGATGACTCTCGATGGAATTTTATTTGTTTTATTTCTCATGTAGATAGGATATAACAATCGTCGACAATTATCACACAAACACACACACACACACACATGCACGTTTTATCGTAACTAAATAAGAAATATAAAATTACCACCGTACGTTTTTTTCTTTTTAAGCAGCTTAAATCGTCGCATTGTCAATATTCATATCTCGTTATCACCAATAATGATCATTATTGATCATCCTCGCTCAATCCGTGTTCAAAAATCCATCCCAAGCACCACCCACCCTTCTCTAAAAATCACCAAGACACTCTATACTAATCGATCAGTTTGTTTCAATTTGTCTTATATTAATTAATTTTCTTAATACGAGCAGCACCCAACCGAGATCAATTTCGATTTTTTATATCGCGTGCGACATTTTTTCTACTACTATTACTACTACGCGTCCGATTTAATAGCGATTGCCTTTCGATCGGCTTAAATTTAATCGACGACAAAAACAATACCTACTACTATTATGTACGTTACGAGTTTGTAAAAGCGTTAGTCGATCGATTCGCGATCGATTTCGCGAACGATAGACGAAAAAAACTGTCACCCACCTAAATTTCTTTAAAAAAAAAAAATGTGCTGCTCCGTTGTCCCTTTCTATTTAAGGTACACTACGAAGTTTATCGTTACACAATCTTGTAAATATTAAAAAATAACGTGTATATATAAATACATACAATTATATTATAATATATGCGTATCTATTATGCGTTAATTTAGATTTTAAGTATTAGACCGTAATCGAATTTAAATTAGATCGACCAGGACTGCCGTTAACGAGAAATAATGATTTTATCGATGAATTTATATCTTTAACATTTTGCCGTTACAATATTTTTGTTTATTCAAATCGATCAATTTTTCTTTTTCTCCATATGTTCGCAAACGGAAATAATTCATTCATATCTATATAAATGAACTTTGATTTTATTGACAATATTGTGTGCAGAACGATAAATCGCTTGAATCTTTGCTCAAATATTTTTTTTTCAAATACGACAGCCCTGAAGCCGACGAGAGAGAGAGACAGAGAGATAGAAAGAGAGAGAAAGAAAGAAAGAAAGAAAAAGAAGTAGAAAGAGTTAAAAATGCGTTGTAAACGCGTCGGAAAAACTTTGCGATGAATAATCGACGAATAATCGACGAATAAAATTGTCGATCCACATCTATCGTCGACCCTGAGATCGCCTAACGCTATGTTTATAGCAAAAAATAACTAGATTCATCCTCGAAATCAATTTCTAGAGAAAAAAAATCTTGCTTATCGTCTAGTCACTAGATAGTTAGTCGAGCCCGAGCTTTCTTCGCCGCGAAAGGAGCGACCTACTTTTATTGCGAATTCATATATATTATATATTGTGTTTGTTTGTTACTTTTAATTAAATATAATAAGTACCATTGTCTATAACTTATGATATAATATAATATGCTGTGCTTTTTATATCGTTAAATATTTGCGATGCGTTTTATACAAATTTATATTAGAATTAATATTACAAAAAAAAAGTCTTCTTGTATTGGTTTTTCCGGCAATGATTCATTAAATATTTCTACGAACGCGATATATTATATCGTTTAAAATCGATAAGATGATGATGATAATAATAATAATAATAATAATAATGTACGTTTTTGTAAATGAATGATTTTTTAATGACATTTAATATTGATAATTACGTTGAAAAAAAAAACACACACACACACAAACTCGTTATTAAAATATTTCCTCCAAGAGAACGCTCCTTTGGCGAGCTGAATCGAGGTCGGGAAACATTATGCCTAAATTAAGCGTATTCGAGAGTGAAAATTAATGATCATTTTCGCGCTATATAATTGTATATGTAATATTTTCATTAAACATTCCCCGCGTTTTAATTAAGTATAAGAAACTTTTTATAGAAGACGCACGAGCAAAGCTCGGATAGTAGCACGAGACGCGTCTCATTACTTCTCTCGCCAAGTTTGCTTGTAAAAATGATATTTAACTTTTCATTCCTTTCTTCTATTCGTTTTGTTTTTTATTTTTTTTTTATTTCTTCTTTAATTCTCTTTTTTTTTTTCTTTTTAATTTAATATTTTCGCGCGATATAAACTCTTTGGATATATGATCAATGTGATCGTTGATAGGCCAAGAGGAATAAAGAATAAGTATATATGTGTGTGCGTGTGCGTGTGCGTGTATGTAAAAGAGAAAGAGAAAGAGAGAGAGAGAGAAAGAAAGGAAAAATGGAAAAAAAAAAGAAAGAAACTCGAACACCCCCCCCCATCACCCTTCCATCATTCAATTAACTTTTCACGCGAATCTTCGTTGAATCGTTTCAGCGCATATACTTATACAAATTTCTATCGTGATTGAAATTATTCATTAAAGTTTATTATTTTCGATCGCGAAAGAATTGATCGAAATAATTGATAATGTAAACGCGTTGAAAGATCGTTTTTTGTATTATCGTCAAAATCCAAAACACATATTCCATACAAAATTGTTATTAATAACAATATTATACCCCCATCCACAGAATGCATTTTTTTTTTGCCAGAATATTATATATTGAAATCGAATATAATTTGTTGATCCAAGCTGACGCCAAAATGGATCGAAATTCAATAATCTATTGTACGTTGTAGCAGCAACAAAAATACGAACGTTGTTTGAATACTTTGTACATCGTTTCACGAAGATGTCAATTTCGTTTGATTGTACAAATACGAGTTCTCCTCTTTTTTACTTTCGACGATGTCAAAAAAAGAAAAATAAAGAAATGCGTTGGGACTATTTGTACATACATAGGCTCAATCATGTAACAGCGGTGAAACAGCAATTAAAATTATTGTAGAAACGATGATGTCTTACGAAATAAATTGCAAATCGATAAAGAAATTCAATTAAAATGTTTCCTCCCCTCTCTTCAAACGAGCAAACAAATAAAGAAATTAATCAACGAAAATTAGACCTCGTTCATCGAAATAAATTTATTTGACATAGATTTATCTTCCCGACAGTGAATCCATGATCTTTTGATCGATCCAACGTCGATAATGTGCAACTCGAACGTAAACACCGGGTTTGTTGGCTTTTCCACAATGTTGACCCCAACTTGTGATTCCGTACAAGGTAAATGCACCTATGCGAAATAAAAAAAATATAATAAAAATGTCAGAATAATATTTTTAAATATGTGAAATTTGTATTAAATAATATTACCATTATGATAGCACGCCAATGGACCACCAGAATCACCATCGCAAGTGTCCACCCCTTCATTCAAATGTCCAGCGCACACCATCCCATCGCTGATTTTTCCAGGACCATAAACGTGCTCAGCACGACATACCGATTGGTCTAACAATGGTATCCACCCGTACCTAAGATTTCTGGAAGGTGCTAACGATAAATAAAAAGAGAGAGAGAATTATATTTAAATACAAATATTATCATAATAAGAGAAATGTGTTGATAATAATTCTTAATAAATATTTACTAGTTCTTCCAGTTTCAATACTACCAAATCCACTGATTGTACAATTAAATCCTGCAGGATATTCCGTATTTTCCGGTGGCAAGCAAATCGGCATGATATCTTTGCCTAAAGGTATACCTTGTCCTTTGAGCAAAATTAAAGCAATATCGTTATTCATTCTATGACCCTTACGAAAATCTTCGTGAATGTAGTAATCTTCAATATTTGCTTCCCTCTCTGTCCCTTCCTGTTCCTAAATATATTTAATAATTGTTAAGATTATTATATTTATAGATATTATTTATTATATTTCATTTGGAAACTGTCTTACTTCGGTGTTATAATCACCAGCACGAACAAAATACGTTCCTTTGTTGTAACCTTCTAAACAGTGTGCAGCCGTGAGAACATGCAGAGGCGACAAAACAACTGCTCCGCACCAATGATTCGATCTACTATGTCCCCTAACTCGTATACTCGCCTACCAATTTATATTATATTAACAAATTTTTATTCCACGATCGATCGATATATTGTTCAATAATACGATTTCTTTTATCACACCTGTTTGCCATTAATTAATCGTTACATTATTTAGTTTACCTGCCACGGATATGTGCCTTTAGGTGCAATAGAACCGTGCACCACTTTAGCAAATATTAGATCTTCGTCATCGTTGAAATCTTCCGAACGTTTTCCACAATTTGCTGGTAGAACATCATTGATTCTTGTTTCAGGTAAATCAGTCATCGTATCCCAGATATACTGAACGATAAACAGGTAAATCAGGATCAGGAAATGAAGTAATTATTCTCCATGTACTTTGTATACTTCAATATTTTTATTTTCACTGATAATCGTGGTATTGTCAACCAAAAAAAAACTAAATTACAAATTACCTACGTCTAAAAACCATAATCGTACAAATAAGTTAAATGTTTTTAACGACTAATGGTAATAATTAAGAGATTTAAATCTTTGGTTACGTTTTACTTTGCAAGACTAGAAATCACAGATCCGTATAGACAAATCATTGTGTTTCGACCGAATGTATTGAAAAAATTATGATCTACTCCGAGAGAGATTATTTCGTGTTACCTCGGAGTCATCGTTCGCGTTTCCATATGAACAGATTACACCTGCATCCTCGTTGTGATCGCAATTATTCCGTCCCCATTGATCATGGTTGCAACGATACAATTGTGTCTCATTTCCATGACAAAAAACCTAATTTAAATAATACGATGATATAGAAGGTAAGTTAAAAGGAGTATGAAGCAAATACAAAGTTTTAAGAAACATACTTCATCAAGCCAAATGGGTCCCTGTCCAGGACCGAAGAAACCGTTTTTCTTTGGTTTCGCAACCCCATTATATCCCAAAGATCTACAAATGACTCTAGCTGTGGCAGCCGAGAAATCATCGTCACAAACTGTACCCCATATACCGTGATGATAAATTTCTACTCTCCCTTCCAACGGGCTAGTACCATTTACCAGACGAATATCGAATGGAGCCTTATTTAATAAAGAAATTGAAATAAATTATTTTCACACGCGCGGCTAATAATTAATTGAAATTTATTCTATAAGAAATTAAATGCATCTCTTACGTTACAACGTTCGTCACTTTCATCGGATTTGTCTGAACAATCTGGAACAACGTCGCAAATAAACGCTATGGGTATACATTCCGGACTGTTTTCGCACTTCCAATGGCCATCTTGACACGTGTCAACCGCTGTTTTGCAAACTACACCTACAGCCTCTTCCGGTTGACAATTATGAACGCCCCAGCTATAAAATTATAAATAATAATACAATATAATTTTGTCTATTCATCTTATCTCTCATATTAATCGAAATATTAACCTACCCTTCGAAATCACAATGGCGTAAAGACGTTTCATTGCCACGACATTTCAATTGATCAACCATGAATCGAGTTGGTGGATCTAAATTACCGTAATATCCTCCGGGTTTAATTTCCAAAGCACCCAATGGAAAACCAAGTTCTTTACAAATAACATCAGCATTGATCATACCAAAACCATCATCACAAACTTGACCCCATACACCCAAAACTATTGAAAATAATCCACGATGATGTCAAAATTTTAATGAATTGTTCATAAAGATACAACGAACGAAATTAATTTTGCATACTTACTTTTAACTTCGACTCTACCCTCGTCTAAATTATCCGAGCCGGCAAGCCGAATTGCATAATCGAGATTTTCTACGGTGCAGATATTCTCGTCGGTACGATCGTTGCAATCATTTTTTCCATTGCACACTAACGTGTGATTAATGCATTTTCGATTTTCACAGACAAACATGTCCTCACATTTAATACTTCTTTCTTTCATTTCATAGTAATCAAAATCCTTGATCGACTTTAAAGCTCCTGTTAAACCGATATTGCTATCACTCAGCAAACAAATGTTACCGCTTGCTCTAAAAAATTTAAGATAGTCATAAATTATAATGGAAATTTTTGTAAAAAAATACAAACGGATAAAGAAACATACTTATGAGCGAATGATCGACAAGTGAAATCAGCTTCCTTGCATCTTAGAGCACATGTTTTTAAAGGCGTGTTCAACCACTTTTCGACATCGTATCCTTCAAGCCTGTGCTTTGCAAATTTCTGATAAAGATGCAAATGATCTATGCATGCTCGCTCGTCTGCACCGTTTGTACAATCCTATAAAAAGTTCGTAAAATATTATTTAATAAGTATATGAACAAATAAAAATAATTATCTTCATACCTCTTCTCCATCGCAAACCCACGGTGACGGAATGCATTCCCCGGGTAAACATTCGAAATGTTTCGGTTTGCATTTGCCATTGAAATGCATTTTCTTCGATTCTAAAACACACAGAACTTCGATTATCATCTTCTTACAAAATTAGTTAATGTATATAGAATTAAACTAATAAAAAAAAAAAATGAATTACCAATTTTTCCACAAAGTGGAAGATCACAATAATCTCGTTCTCCGAAAGGGCCTGTATAACACCATGGCATGGTTTCCACATTCGGATTTGGATTTCTACAATAGTTGTGGGGTTGCAATTTTTTTTTGACATCGCGATTAGTTACCTATTTAATAAAAATAATTGTCGGTTAAGGTATTATAATTTATGTAAAAATTACGTGATTAAAGATTTAATACATACGGCCAAATTAAGATAATGAAGAACTCTATTATCGGACCAGGAAAGACACTCTTTTCCGGATTCGGTTACATTTGCAGTTCCAAAATATTGATTGCCTTTACCATATATGCAACCTAGAAAAGAAAAAAAAAAGACATCTAGTAAATATTTTAATGAATTACTTTAAACGCGATTAATACACATACCAATATCATCGTATGGTCTTTTGCAGATATAGGCATGCCCCTTCATAGATGTAGCACAATCTTCGATATCCCAAAAGAAATAATCCGCAACGCAAATCGAATCAGGACGATTGTGACAAGGAAACTTTCGTTTCATAATAATGCAAGCTGGACGTGAACCCACCCAAGGTGGCAATTTCTTATCTTCCGTCCATCCTGGCCACCATTTCGTGAATCTATGAATAATAGATTTGTTAAGAAGAAAATAAAACAACAGATAGATAAGCTCAGGTGTTTATAATCAAACTTACTTAAATTTAGAACGACTCGAATCTTCCCAAAGCCACAGGGTCCTGTTGAACGTGGTGAAACCAACTCCAGAAGTCATAATCGATCCGATTTCTGGATGCGATTGCGACAACCATTCTGATATAAAGTCGTTCTCTGCTTGACTTACGATATCAATAAGCCGACTATTCCTTTTGGAACAATACTGAAGTGCTTCTGCATGATTTAGTCCGTTCTCCGAATCGGCCAAATGATAACATTGACCATCGTGTGGAATTTCATCCTTACGACAATGTACTATTCGATTTGGCAAACATCTGACACCTATTGCATCTCTTTCCACCCGACATTCTTGTTCATGAGTAAATCTACAATAATCATTTTTATTTTTTACTAATTCATTTAAACATTAAACTCTCGTAGAATTTCATTCAGAGGATAGAAATATCTCCAATAAACGTACTTGCAAGACTGAAATCTGATTTCATTGCCGGAACAAGTTACGGAATTCGCTGCTATCCAAGTTGGCATTCCATTACGTTTGCTTCTTCCTTGCCAAGCCATTTCGGCGCCCCTATAAATCGCAAAGAAATATTATCTTAAGGGATGTTCAGCAGGAACACTATAATCTTAACGCAACGCCTAACTTCATTATATTAAATCAAGGACGTTAAAATAGATAAGTACATACCTAGAATATCCTAATTGTCTACAAACTACATCGGCTTCTTTGAGCGACCAACTATTTCTAGAATCGCAAACAATACCCCAACCTGGTTGTGCTCCTTGAACTTCAACGTAGCCATCTGAGGAACTAGGCCCATCTCTAAGTCGTATAATCTGTTAACGAAAAAATAATATTATTCAATGTAAAATCATTTCATTTCGTTTATTTTTATTATTATATTTATCTATAAAAAATATATTGACCTGGCCTGAAATCGGCGTAGGAGGTGAAACCTTTTTCGAATGTGACAATGATTGAACCGGTGGGATATAATACACAGGGAATGGTGGTTCCTCTGTAAATATAAAAATATTTATATAAATTAAAATACTTTATTAAAATATCTAATTATTTTATAAAACGTGTAAGGGACTCTGAACTTGCGCCCTACACCAAAATGCTTTAGTACCATGCGTCGAAAGCATAAACATGCACCGGAAGCAATCGTATAATATAATTGACTATAATATTATTGCTTACCCATATTAATCCATAATTATAAAATTAGGATTAAATCTAAACAACTTACCATTTTGATATGGCGCTACTTCTACATTAAAAATATCCACATCCGTATTCTTTTTATTGATTTTCATGATAACGGAAGAATCATTTTTGCTCGCGGTTTTGGTCTTATTTTCAAAAACCAATACTGGCTTCCAATCTCCTTTATCTTCTAAAACATCTACGTCGTATGAATCTAAATCAATTTCGGGAATGACTTCGTTAAAAATCGATGTAGGAGTTTCATTTTCAATTGTCAATTCTATATCGGTTAATTGTGGACCAGTGGTATTATCTTCGATCGATATACTAGGAATACTAGAATCAGTAGTACTACTTTGATTTTCTGAAGAATCTTGCGAAACAGGAACGCTTATATTCTTGGAAGGCTTTAAATATACATCCGGTATCTTTTCCGTTCCAACATTCTCAGAAGTTAATGGATTAGAATCGAACTGTTTAATTGAACGATTGATCGTACGACGAGGATCATGTTGCGATAATATAACCGCCGATCGATTAATTGTACCATGAACAGGATGAAAATCTTTTCCGATAGAATAATCATTTGCCGCGCCTTTTAAATCCGTCGATGTTGACTGATTGAAATGACGATTAATAAAATTACCGTCGGATGGTTGAGGAATATTTACAGGATTCGGAGTATACCGTATAGGATAATGATTACTTGGAATGATAGGACTCGTAGTAGTTTCTTGATTATGTAAAGGTGTACGCGTGTATATGCTGCCATAAGTTCGATTAAAAGAGAAAGGTGTATGTCGATTGTTATGATTATAAGTTTTAGTCTTCGAGTGTCCTTGATTAATTTCCAACTCTTTTGTGATAAAATGGCCTCTTGTCCCATTACTGTTAACGTATATTCCGTATGGATAGAATGGTTTTTTCGAAATCTGTGTTGAATTTCTATTTCCTAGAACAACAAAAAATAAGGCTTCTTTAAAGGTAACGTTTTGAAGTAAATAATATAACTTACTTTGTATAAATCATTTTCCTCTATAGGTATGTAAACAAATTAATTAAAAGACAACGATCTTTCTTTTATTCTATTTAAGCATMCCTGCCGATACTTGTCCTTTTGCTTGTAAAAAAACATTGGTTTTACTTAACCATTTATCCATTTTGGAATCAGCTTCCCTGTCGTTTATGGTTTGTTGTTGGATATTAGCTCTCGCGAGCCATTCGCGTAATTTTTCTTCTTCATCGATCGTATCTATATGTCAGTATGATTTTTAATAATTAAAAATGATTCGACAAAATATATAAATATACCACGTTTTATATAATTATTATACGTTTATGTTAAAGTTACGTATCTCGCAAATAATCTTATTGTTAGTTTTGTAGCTAGCAAATATTGTTAAAATTAATAATTAACCCTTTATTTGTTTAGTTGCCAATTATTGCTTACCATTTTCTTTAGATTTTCTTGATCCTTCATCCTTAGAAAACAAACCTTCTACATTCGTGCGCCAATATCCTTTGGGATAAAAAATGTCCCAATTCGGATTTATGCAACTGTTATTTAAAAATCGACTATGAACAATACTAACCCATTTATTTAAAAAATAATCCAAATGATTGAACATGCTATCAAAATAAATCGAACAACCCTTATCATGCCATGCATATCTTTTCAGAACCATGCAAATATTTGCATTCTTCTTTTCATGCCAACCTATTTAAACAATCAAATAAAAATCCGAAAAAAAGACTAGAATTGATTTAAGACATAATACAAAATCACCTTGATTCCATGGCCGAGACGATGGTTGATTAGAGTTTTCTGATTTATTTTCGAATACAGTTGGACGACTCCATGTAATATTATTTTGATTCGGTCTTGAAAAATCTGTTCCAAATTGTACACTCAAATTTCTGTTCGTTCTATCTCGAGATTCCACTTCATCGTGTGAATCGTAATCGTTATTAACATAAATGTTTTTATTCGAACTTATAGATTCATTTATTTGTCTATTAACAAATTCAGGATTGTTTCTGCTATTATTCATCCTATGCAATTGAACTGTACTATTAAATCTGTTCCCAGTTGGTACATAAGAGCCAAAACGCCGAATTGATTCTCCTGATTGATTATTAGTTTGCTGCCTGTTAAAGTTATCGATATTTATAGTAGGATAGTTTGCATAATTCCATGTTTCTTCAGTATTATGTACAGTTGAAGAACCTTGCTGATGTCCATTAGATTCAGATATTCTTCTATTACCAGGATATTGAGTATCATTGATCTTTGGAAGATAATGATGGTAATGATAATGATAATGATGATATACATCACGTGAATCGTAAGGGTTTGGAGAATGTGTCATGTGATTCGTAATATTACAATTTACATCGGACATAGGTTGTCCTGATCCTGAATGATTGTTATGATGATGACCATGATCGTGATAATGACCATGATCGTGATGATATTCATGATCGTGATGATATCCATGATCGTGATGATGATTATGATTCTGATAATTTCCATAGTTGTTATTGGATCCCATGGAATTAGATTGATTTTGTAGATTGTTCTTTGGTTTCTGAATCATCGGTCTCCAAGTAGGCCTCCACACTGTCCTTGGCAATTCAGTCGTAGTTGCAGGCTGAACTTGATTATTCCTAGAGCCTTGGCCATGATTATTATATCGATTATAAGTATGATTATATCGAGGATGTTCGTGCGATGACTCTAGATCTCCTCGGCCGTATGGCAGCCAAGGTCTGCTCGTTGTCGTAACTTGTTTTAATTTATTCTCTATCGAAACAATAATAGCAATAATAGTTGAATTTTGTTCAAATCATAATCTATCACTATTCAAAGCTTGAAAAATTCTAACTACCTTCTTTACAAGCTGGTACCTTATATGGCCAATCACACACCGATATGAGAGGATTAAAAGCTGTTCCTGGCCCACAATCCATCACATACGTAATACCATTCGCACACTGCAAAAATTTTCTACAATTTTCTGGATGTGGTAATAGACCTGTAAAATCTTCAGGACACTCGATCTTTTTTTCGGCTGACTGGACGTTGTGTTCCAATCGATCGGCAAAATTATTATTCGAACCATAATGAACATTATGATTATGAAAACTTGGGTCCGGTGGTGTTTCAATAATCTTCGTTGTATCCTCTTTTGATTTAAATGTATCTATTTAAACAAAAATATTGATTTATATCCGTAACACCGTTTAACGAATATTTTTCACTAACCTTCGCAGCCTTTTACATGGTAAGGCCAATCACAGACGCTAAGGGCAGGATTGAAAACCGTACCAGGACCACAATCCATCTCGAACGTCATTCCGTTGGCACAAGATAAAAACTTGGTACAATCTGTAGGATGTGGGATTAGACCTGCCACGTGAGGTGGACATTTTGGTTTCTATTAACGAAGAAATCGATAAAAAATAAATTATATATATATTATACATACGTTTTTTTGAGTAATTTAAGAACCTAACGAAATTTACAAAAACGAATGTATACACGTACGTGTGATTCCTCTCGTTCCTCATCGATTTCCAGATTGTATGCTTTTGAGTAACGTATAGGCTCAGAAATCTCTGAACCATAACATGTAACTTTGTATGGAAAATCACATTCCAATGTTAAAGGATTAAATAAAGTACCTGGAGCGCAGGGCTGAACGAACGCTCTGCCTTTCCAACAGTTAACAAAAAATTTACAATCGGGAGGATAAATGAACTGACCGGTAGAATCTAAATTTGGACATTGTACTCCCGATTGAGAATCATAATGCGCTACCGTCGATATGGGATTAGTCCAAAATAAAATTCTTTCCTGTCTTGGTTTCTAAAAACAATTCGAATATTAGGTAGATATTTTCTTGGATCAAAAAAAAAAAGTAACATATACTGTATATATAGTAGTGACATCAATTATATAAAGATAAGGATTCTTAAGCATATTATCCTAACATTTATGTACTAAAGCAAATTACATCGCAGTATTATCAAAAGTATCGCTGTTGAGTAAACAAAAATGGTGAGATTTACCGTGCTCTCGCTTCCAATCCCTTCGTATAGCAAAGCTGAATCACTATCCTCAGATAATTTGTGCTTTAATTTACTTCCAGAAATTACGGGATTATTGCTATCTTGATAAACATTGTTATCTTTAGAAGTAGAACCATATCCGTATTGACCTTCTGGAGGATGCTCGTCCAGATGATCATCCAGATGATCGTCGATTTGATCATGATCGTGATGCTGTTCGGAAATCTGATCATCCGTTATCTCTGTTCTTAACTCGATCTCACTACCAGAAGTTTTACGCCACGGTGTCCAAGATTTGCTATCCGAATTAACGATGACAGGCTTTCTTGGTTCATTCTCTTCCGCATTGGTCCACCACTTTGCAGATCGAGCTAAATCATCGGGAGGTTGTAAATCCTTTTCGTTGAGATACCAAGGCAAGAATGATTCCCGATGATTAGGCGCTTTTGTTGTCGTTTCCTTCGGATCGTATATCTATGAATCGATATTCCATGCAATCACGTAAAATTAGATAACGAACATCATTACTGTATACTAATATACTAATCACATAATAAGTATATATACTAATCTCTTACTATTATTAAAGTAATCAGCTCTTTCAAAACATTTGTTCAAACATATTTCTTCAAATATCTAGTTTTATTTATACTGACGTAAAAGAAATGTTATCTGATCAAATTGTTCACTCGACAAATATTCCAATCGTTAAAACGATTGTTAATCGACGAAAGTTAATGTTAAATGAAAGTGAAAGTTAAGTGTATTGCTTCAAACGGATAAATAATTTTCCAAGTGAACTAAATATACCCTTAATTGAATATATACTTAAATATATTCCAAAAAATGTAATGATGTGATAGATTTTCAAAAAGTATAATACTTCGAATTGAATAATATAGATATGACATTTGTTTCACGTACCGCGAAAGTGAAGGTTCCAAAGTATATTAAACAGAGTGCAACGTAAAAACAATTAATCCAGGACGTCATTCCTAAAACATTTAAAAAACACGACGTACTGCACACTAATGATCACGCACTCACTATAAAATCGCTTGGTACAGAATTCAGTTTAAATGAAGCTTGCACAAACACTGTTTTCTTCTGAGCGATAATTTGAAAAGAGGAGAAAGAAAAAGAAAGAGAGAGAGATAGGAAATAAATATGTTAGTGAAGAGGGAAAGGGAAAAGGAAAAGAAAAACAAGAATAGGAGTGCATAACTTCTTAGAGAGAAGGGTTATCAATTTAGAGGGCAGATCAAGGGTCGCTAGATCGTCATCGCTAAAGGAAGGCAAAGCAAAGATCGTATTGGAGAGAAAATAAAAGATAAGAAAGAGAGAGAGGAAGACAGAGAATACTTTACTGACTACACGCAGTGCCAACGTGTATACACTTTAATATAGCAAATGCACACAGAACTATTTGTCAATTGATTCTACACGGGAATAAATTGGCTCTCATTTTACCAGTCATCGAGCTCATAAAAATTCGACGTAAGCTCCATGTAAACGTTAGGGTAAAGTAATAACACCGTACATTTAATATTGTAAGAGCTTTATTTTATTTTCTTGTGAGTTTGTTTAAATCCGATAATAGGAGGAAAGCAGCAAAAAAAGGAAAATCTTATTTTTCTTAAAATCAAGTTATAATTATTTCGCCGCAATAACACTTGGGCTCCAGTGACGTATGTAAATACTTGGTAACTGGTCACGTAATGCAGTTATGCGTGTATTGTATTTTTCAATTTATCAAGAAGATTAAAAAGAATTTTCTTTACAACATCGTATCCTCTGATTTTTACTGGAATTTCCAACGATGTTTTTTATTTCATACATACAAGTAGTTATTAATGCTGATAATAAAATTCATATCGCGTTGAGGATGCATTCATTTACGCTGGTAATTATAGCATTTAGTACATTAATATACGGACAACGTATCAATTTTAATATTAATCATAAAGATGTTGTGTCAATAAAAATATACGGCCTTTTATTCTATTCATAATTTTTTCTCATTTATTTTATTTTTCCAATAATAAATCTACTTCTATCGAATAACATATTTACATGTGCAACATGCATTTTATTTCCATCGAAAATTGATCATCCTCGGTTACCACAACCGTCCCGATTTTGCAAAGGATAATCGCACGTTCCAATCGCAGGATTGAATTCAGTGCCTGCACCGCAACTCAATATGAAACAACCACTGGCATCGCATTGTTGATATTTACTGCAATCACCAGGATATGGTATAACTTGAGCCTAAAAATATAATTTATTTTTAATTCAAGTATAAAATTTAAAGATCATTAGATTAATTATATTTTCAAAAATATAATTCGTCTTGTACGTTATTTGATTTTTTTCATAAAATCTATAAAAACAGAGAAAAGAAATGAAAAAAAATTACTTACCGTTGAATACTCAAATAGGAATAAACTAGCACAAAGAAGTACTAACGATAAAACAACGTTAAACTTCATCTTGATTCGTCCTTTGATTCACAATCGTAATTGCCTTCTCTGATCAAGGAATGGTCTTTATATAGAGACACGGAAAATAAGGAAAACAATTTATCATTATTAGAATTCGCTATCACGGAAATTATTTTTTTTCCCGTACTATCGATCCTGTTTCTCAATCGATTGCTATTGACTCATGTTAAAATACTAATTAGCTTTAATCGACCTTATAACATCGCACTTAAGGTCAAGATGCGATAAATTTATGTATATTTTAAATAAATTATTATTCTTAAGATTAGAACTAACACAAAGTAAAAGGGTCATATGAATAATAAATGAATGAAATATGAATAGAAATTACTTCATTTATATTTTTTATTCAATATTCACACTCGCGATTAACTGTAAATTTTTTAATACTATTTTCAAAAACTATTTTACACACTATTTTATTGTACGTATATTATGTTAAACATAAGTATGTTTAATCGATTATTTTAATTTTTTCATCGACAGTGCTTCCAAATTTGTTTTACTTTTTATCTTCTCATACAAAAAACTATACGGATGTGATAATTCTGATTCAGTTTCAGGAATCCTTGTCAATCTGCGAATTTTTGGGGATAACAATAAAGTTTTTTGACCCAGAGTACAAGCACTGTTCGTTATCCAATATAAGCACAGAGACTGAAATAAATGAAATATGTATTATTTTGATAAATTACCAATGAATTACTAAATACAATTTTAATGAAATTATTTTATTGTAACTCACAGAAGGTATTAATGGTGATAAAGGTATTATCACGATTGATACTAATCTAAGAAAATTGGTAAGACTTTTGTGTAATATTGTAGGTTCCTGCAATCTCAACATGCGAAAGATCTATAAGCAACAATTGTAATAAACTTTAGTTAACAATTTCAATAAATATATTATTAAAGAAAATGATCAATATATATATATATTACATTAAAATCTTACCTCTATGTTAGCTAAATTTATTAGTGCAGTTAATGTAGGTAATATGAAAAAACTATCTGCTTCCGTCAGATTTGTTATCCAACCGAAACCACCCGTTGTGAGTTGAAGATAATTCTCATAAGCATCTGTTTAAATAAATCAAACATTTGGATAAGAATTTAATAAAAATAGTTTTTAATGTTAATTATATCAAATACTGTTCTCTCTCTTACACATATCGCCTTTGGGTAACATATAGCATAAATTTCGTAGTGAAAATGTTAATATTATTAATGTTGGAATTTCGATGTATGCGAGAAGTACGGTTTTCATCGGATGACAATTGTCTCTGACAATTAATTCCTTCCTTTTTTTTCTTACCTATAATCAAAAAATTTATGTCATTCTTTTAAATATATAGAATTTGTGTTCAAACATTTATATAATAATAAAACATTAAATATAATAATAATCACATACCGAAAGATTATACATATGTCTTGCATGTTCCTGTGACCAATTATTTTGAAACATATCATCTTTCATTTTTCGTTTCAAATTTGTAGTAATACCAGTCATTTCATGGTGTAAATTTTCTAGCTTAGCAGTAATATTTTGCTAAAAATAATAATGTAAATATTGATGATGTATTGTAATGATGATTGTATGATTTTATTAATATTACATAGCGATACTTTAACAGTAAACTTACCATAATTAGTCAAAATGATCAGTTTATATTGGAAATTTTAATGAAGGATAAAAATTTGGTAAGTTTAGTGTTAATGCAACTTTATATAATTCCAATTAACAACGTAACATTGGATGATTTTTAAATTTAGTTCAAACATTTTCATAAAATAAAATAAAAACAAATAGAAATACTCTACACTTTTATTGGTTTAATTTATATACATAACTTATTTGAAATCATAGTATATGTAATCACAAAATATACATAATATTAAATACCTGATATATTGCTATTGGTAAACTAATAGTTAATCGTAATAATATAGTTGTCAATATTATAGTTGCCCACCACGGTAAGTCTGTATAAGAATGTATATTTATTAAAGAATTTTGTACAAATTCCACAGGTGCACTTTCAGATATACCAGTTATTATATTAACATAATTCTTGTACCAAGTATCTAATGTTCGTTCATAAAAACTTGACATTTGTCTTACATTATAACAATTTCGTGTGGTAAAATCACTTTTGACAAAAAGCGGATTTGTTCCAAAGTGTGATTGTTTATTTATGACTTTGCTGCACAAAGATTTATGTGTAGAAATAAATTTACATTGTTTCTCATATATATTATTTTTATTTATTTTATTAATTATTAATATTTGTTTCGACAAATTAGAGCATTGATTTGATATTGCATTGTCAACAATGCCAGTATAATGAATCAATTGTCTGTTGTATTGGTTAATATTAACCAGTGAATTTTTAAAAGAGAAACATGAACTAATGGAAAAAGTTTTAATATTGATTTTATGTAATAAACAAATATTGTTATGTAAAATCGTGATGTGCATTACACAAGGACGAAAACTTATCATTATTCTAGTAATATTAATAACTTTTAAAATCACACTTTAACACTACTGCGATGTTTTTTGAGGTTAGAACACATAATACTACATAAGTACTAATCAAGTTTTATTTAATAACATAATTTAAATAATAATATATCAACTGATATAATTATGAATTTATGACAGTACAATACGTGAAATAAAAATTGATAATTTATTTGATATTAAAANTATTTATATTATAAAATAAATCATAATATCAATTTTTGTTCAATTTTTTTTACTTATTGTTAGTCTACTTACATAATTATCGACACATTTAAAGCTTTTCCTATTACTATATTAAATTTGATAATATTTTTTTGAAATATTTGGAATAGTTTATAGCCACGGTTTCCAACCAACATATGTACGACCCAAAATATTAAAATCTGTCGCTTGATCTAATAAACATTCGACCTGTGAAAATATATTTATAAATATTTATAATATAGGCATAACAATTAATAATAATGAAAAATAAATTTTACTTGTTCCTCTGCTGTTAATTTCTCATTTCTGATATTTAAACGAGTACGTTTAATACCATCATCACCATTAACTATCATATAATATCTTTCAAAATATTGATCACTGTATAAATCTTTCAATTGTTCCAAAATTATTGCTGATGGTTTATTGCCGTTCAACTTTTTTTCTATAATATTAATTTTTTTTTGCGGTAACCATTTCACATCTAGGATATTACAAAAATTAAATTAATGTACAAGTAAGAGGTACAAGAAGGATTAGATTAAGTTTTACACTTTTCTACACTTACCGGTATTCACTTCTTCAATTCTTTCCAAAGCTTTGTTAACATTTTCTGTCCAATTCAAAGGTTCGTGTATAAAAACATCTAGACATGCAAGAATAGTACTCTTATCGCATCGCAAAGCTTTTAAAACATGCGTCATTGTTGCTCCAAAGAGATCTTTTTCAGTAAATGGTTTTAAAAGTCCAAGGATTTGAGTTGTTAAGCGAAATGGCATAAGTTGAGGTATCATTGAATCAATGCCAGCATCGAAAGCCTGATCAAAATCGACACCTAAACATTTCCCTGACCCAATAGAAATTAATATGTTTGATAGATGACGATCTCCAATCCCCAAAATCCAATGTACTGCACACATTGTAGCATAACTAGTAATAAAATTTCGTCGAAATGTTATAAAACTTTCTGGCGATGGGCACAATGTTATGCATGCTTTACGTAACAAATCCCATTCCGTTTTAGCAATTAGTTCATTCATTTTTATAATAACTGCATTAGCATTGTAGTTTAAAGTTGCTTCTTTATATTGTACTGCTAAATTTCTTGAAGATCCAGCAGCTTTTTGAATCCATGCATTGTACTCTTTTTCAATGCTATCATAATGAGGATATTTATTTTTAGGAAGAGTAAAATAAATTAAATCGTACAGTGATTTGGTATCTTTGATCCACTCTATGAGACCTAATGATTTTGACAGTGGAATTACCTATAATTAAAGTAAATATAATGCTATTATATTTTTGTTAATTTAAGATATACTAAGTATTTACGAAATTACATTCTCAATCTACATACTTGATACGTATCAATAAATAAATGACGTCGTTTGCAAGCTATATCGGTATTCAAAGTTTTATTTATGATTGAAAAAGTGTGTTGCAATCTTTGATCGAGTCTTAAATCTTCTCCAAATTTGTTTAAAAACATATAATCCTTTGCATCATCACCTATTATTGTGATACGGATTGGTTTACGTAATGATTCCATAACTTTTACAGTTGGTTCTAATTTCATAATTTTAATGTGATACTGAGGCATGGGTTTTCTATAGCCTGTATATTGTCCTGGTACTTCTAATTGGCTTTCACTAAACTCGCATAACCATGGACTATAATTTTTCAGCAATCCATTAGTTTTCGTTTTCTGAAGCGATTGTTTTAGAGTTTGATCTAATTGTTTCAAATATTGACGAATTTCCTTCTCATCTTGCATTTTTTCAAGTTTTTTTAAATTAAATTTACTAATTATATTATATATATTTCCTGGTCTTGGTTCATTTCTGTTTGCTCTCAAAGATGGAATCTTTTTCATTAAGATATCAATTGCAGTAGCTGGACCCTTTGACAAATTTTTAACACATTCATGGAGATAATAACATAAATATGATTCTGGCTGAACAACATATTGCATTGCTTTAAGAAACTGTTCTAACTCTTGATTATCGTATAACAATTTCCTGATTTTGTACATTCGTGAATCATTCAATACACTCGGATTTGTTTCTATTATTAAACGAAGAATATATATCAGAGCATTTGGATAATCTTCAATAATTCTTTCAATAATCGGTATAATTAAATCCGCTATCGATGTCCCAAGATGAGAAAATAATTGTGCTTGCCATCTAAGAAATAACCAAGACTGAATTTTGTTAGTGTTGTTTATAAAAATCTCTTTAACTTCATCGTCATTCAAATACTGATGTTTTAATAAACAAGGAAAATAATGTGCAGCATCTACCGAACCATAACTCATTGCTTTCAATGTAGAATTTACAAACTCTTTGAACAAATAAATATTATCGGAAAATTTGCAAAATTGATTGTAACAATATTTAGACAAAATAAAGTAACAGTCCTTTGGATTTCCAATACTACAACATTCTTCCATTTTTTTAAAGCTATAAGATTCCAAAAGATTTCTTACATCTTCAATGCTACTGAATTTGACCCCTAATTCTTTTAAGATCGTGCTATTTTTGTATAATACATCAACAAATTGTTCGTTTTCATAACTTAACTGTACAAATCTTGTAGCTAGCATACTTATATGATGTCTAGAAGCAATTTGTAGCGAAACATCGAGATCATCTTGATCCAATATTTTATGCGAATATTTCCAAGAAAAAACATAATGAGATAATTTTTTGTCAGAAACTAATTCATTTTCTCCCTTTAGATATTTGAGCCTAGCAGTGGCCAATATATATTTATGTTTAATTTGTGACGAACAGTTATCGATTTGTTTCTTTAAACAATTAAATTGTTGATTTGCTATAAATTTATTTTTGTGACTTATGGCCATATTAATCATATCAAGTGAAAGTTGATAAGAAATATTTTGTAATTCATAAATATAATTATTTTCTTCGTCACTTTGCGTTTCAATCTCCATAGTATTGTTTAAATGTTGTATGTAAAGTGGTGCAAAGTTTATTCTATATAAGATCAGTTTATTCCACAAGAGAATATCATCTTGCACTAAAGGAACACTTCTGCGCCAGAATCTTAGTAAATCTTGTGCGCCTTGAGTAGTATCTGAGACTTTCAAATATTTTAAAAATAGATCGATATCGCTGATTCCTTGCAGTTTTTCCAGCTTCTTCTTTTTAAGTTGAACAGACAATGGATGTAGATGTATCCATTGTTTCCTTAATTCATCGAGAGTAGCATTTAAAAAATCATGAGCGTTAGCTTGTTCCTCGTTTAAAAAGAATAAAGCTAATTCTTCTCCAAAATTACTTTTTATATAACTTAATTTCTGTTCATCTTCAAACCAAAGATTTACTGCTTTCTTAAATTCAACAAACTCTGAACTTTCATCTAAAATTAATGATTTGTGCACATAAACCTGAAACATCCATGGAAACATCCAATTTTTCCATGCATCGTTCCAAATATTATTTAAATTTTGATCTAATCTATCTTTTATATATGTATCAATTTTATCCCAGTCTGATAAATGACTCAAACATTTGAATAAACCTTGGAGACAGTGTTCTTTAATTAATCCTCCTTCTTCTGTATAGACAGTTTCATATGCTGATTTTCCTCTTACCCAATCAGATGTAGCTTGAGCAAAAGAAGAATCCTAAAATATAAATTTAATATCAAAAAAGAAATATATAGAAAGAAATAAAACAATTGTTACTATATTATATAATGCAACAATACCTGTAAATGTTTATTATCAATTTTATCTCGGAAAATGCTTAAAACGATGTCGATTTCATTCATAGATTCATAAAGTTTAGCTAATTGTACCCATTTGTTAGTCTGCTCATCAATTTCTTTCTCAGCCAAGCACAATCTTTTTTGAGGAGGTGGTGATGTTTCATCAGAATTATATATTAAATTTTCTTCCAACAGAAGTGTAGCAATGGAATTAAAATGATTTGCTTTAGAAATTTTTGTTGTAATATCAGGAGAACAGTCAATTATATGACATGTAAGCATTATTTCTAGCATCGCAGCCATCAGCGGAGAACTTTCTTGACAGTTACATAATATTTTCTTTAAGATTGAAACAATATCATGAATGATATTTATATTTTGCTGCAGTTTCATAGCTTCTATAAGAGAGCTAAACATTGCAACTGTTATATCTTTACAAATCAATTGATCCTTTTTTATTAAATTTTGCAGTGGTTCAATTAAATCAGAAAGGGTAATTTCAATATCAGGAAAATCACCAGATCTATACTTTCTATAATAAAATTGTAATGGTTATAATTTTAATGTTTCTATTGTATGCATATAATTAGAAATACTTACCTGCATAACTTTACACTGTTCCTTTGCCTTATTGCTTCTTTCTTTATCATGTTAGCATGTTGCGAATTTTTTGTTATTTCTCGTTGTCTAATGATATTGGAAACTATAGTCGAATTGGCTAAAAATCTTCTTGATCGTTTATTATCAGCAGGTTGTACAATTTTTGATGCTTGTACATTCATATCGTATTCTGTGTCATTCAAAAACATTTGGTTGTCTTGATCTTCATTTGGATATGTTTGTTCAAATATTGGATCTTGTGTTGCACGAAAATTGATGCTACTTTGAAATGATGTATAAAAAGAATCATAATTAAATGTCGAAGACATTGTTTGAGTGAATACTTGATTCATTTGACTTGCCAGTGAAGGAGCAAATAATGGTGCAATAGATCCTAAATTTTTGGTTTTCCATGAAGGAATAATTTCATAATCTTTATAATCACAATCAGTTAAAGGTTCGAACATTTTACTTGTATATTCAACTGTCTTTGTCAGGAGATGCAACATTGTAAGTGGTATAAATGGTAGGAAAACATCTTCTGTATTGGGTGAATATATGTTTAAAATTTCTAACAATCTATCTGTTATTTTGCTTGCTAAATTGTTATCTTCTGTCCAAAAATGTAATATTCTCGTTTGTAATTCTGTAGCAGGATCCAATAAACCTCCAAGTAGAGTTTGTTTACTTAAATACCTCAATTTTTCTATCATATCATTACATAAAGTTATTTTTGAATATTTATTATATATACTCATGAAGATTTTGTAAGCTATCTCTCTATATTCCGAAAAATCATGCTTTGTATATGGAGAAACCAATTTAGCAAGTGGTAAAAGATCCAATGGTTCTAATATAAGAACTAATTCATGTATAATTTGAAGTGCTATTTTTTCACAAAGCACAATTCTGTTTTTTAATATACTATGGAACTTTATGTAACTAAGTCTTTTTATAATTTGCTCTTTAGATTGTTGTGGAATCGTTAACAAAAATAATTCCAGACAAATAGCTCTTCCATTGGAATCAACTTTGGACATACTTAGCATAATAAATTCCAAATATTCTGTGGCTATATCTGGATAATTTTTACACAAAGCCTGGATACATCTAATTTGTCTATTTCCAAATTTCATTTGCATCTGTCGAAAAGAATTTTCTAATTTTTCACCGATGTCATGTAATTTACTAGAATAGTTTGTATCATTTTTAAATAATTTAAATATTATTCCAAGAGCTTCGCAACTTTGCAAAACCATTTCTTCATCTTTTTGCCAATTTTCAACACTATTTTGTAGAAACTCTAGAATATCGTCTTTGCAAATAATTTCCACTTGCGTATTGTTAGCTAAAAACATTAGTATTAGATGAATAGCCGTTTTAGGTGAATTTATCATTATTTCATTGAAATTCGTTGGAACTTTTAAACATTGATGCCAAACTGCAATCATCATTCTAATAATATTAACATTGTACTTATAAATTCCTTTTGATGTGTCTTCATTAGTCAGTAATATATTTTGAATTAATTTTTCAAATAGTTTTTGTGCCCATTCTTTCTCTTTAGTTTCATTAGGTACGGCAACTTTATGCCAATCTATTAATGTCAATAAAGCATCGGTAATAATATAATTCAATTTGTTTGTAATTAAATATGAATTAATAGTAGCTATGACTGGAAGTAAGAAAAATTTAGCATAATGTTCAAATAGCTGTGACGCATTCAATATAATTTTTAACATAAATAATCTGACATTATTATTGCGTTGTATTAACATAGAGTCATGGAAACATTTTAATGATTTAGGTAGCGTAAGATTATCTTCGTTGGAAGTAACATAAATTCCTTTAGACATCATATGTATTAAAACTCCACAAATAGATGGCATACATTCATGATCATTCAAATCATCAGATTCAAATAATAAGCTCATACTTTCTTCTTTGTTATTATTTTTAGATTGATTAATAATATGAGCTTCATTTAAATCATAAGCATTTAAATCTTCACAAAGTGTTGATTCAGCTATATTGTAGCTATAAATGTATGAATAATTGTTTTCGTTCGTATTATATTCTTGGCTTTTAGGCTTTTTTATGTTAATTAATTTCTTTTTATTTTTGGAATAATTTTTAACAGTTTGTTGAATATTATATTTTTTATCCAAATTAATAATATTATCCCATATAAGCATATTTTTACTTTTGTTTTCACCAAATACGCTCATATATGCTTGCTCATTATCCTTTAAACTTACAATTGCTATGGAACAATTATATGCAGAACAATGTAATAATCTCATTATTTCTTTATGTTCTGGATTATCTGTTCTCAAAGATCGCACACGAAGAGTGTTTGCATATAATCCTGATAAAAGTTCTGTACCAGTATTCACATTGTCAATAGCATTTTTTGTAATTGTGCTATCGACGCTAGTTATTTTTTGTATATCAATTTTTGCAAACATAATACCAACAAGTTCGTAACAACCAATTGTAGATATAATAAGTTGTTGTTTATCTATATCATTACCCACAAGATTTTTAGTTATAATGGTATAAATATCCTTAATATTATTTTCATAAAATTGTTCTATTTCACAAATGTTGCAAAATTGAAACATTGGTAAAAGAAATTTCTGTAAAATGTCAAATCTACTAGAGGTGGTATCATTACCAAAACTGTTAAGATCCATAAAGTATTTATAACTCATTTCTAATGATTTCAAAGCATAATTACTAGGAATACTATCAAAATATCTTTTCATACACTCTTCTAATTTTTCAGTAAACAAATATTCACCACTACTTGCGGCAAAAAAAATTATAGTTTCATAGACCATTAACGACTTTGTAATAGGTAATAGAGTTAATAACATGTAGAAACAATTTTTAATTTTCATTGCAACCATACTATGTTCGGAAAATACGTTATGTGATATTGAAAGCCTATCTTTTCTTAATGTGCGCAGAATAGTAACTAATTCAGGTTTATATGTAGATGATATATCCGTTAAACATATAAGAAAATGTTGTAAAAGCTTAGTTTTGTATTCAATATCTATTTCTTGTCTGGTAAATTCTTTTAGAATCCATTGATAAAAATATTCAGACATTTGCGCAACTTTTATAGGATTATGCATTAAATGCACGCAAATTCCATAAATGTTAATTAGTTTCTCCTTTCTACGCTCAATATTACTTACAATTCTATCTAAAATAATGAACTTTTTGATGATTGTAGTTACTAACGATTCTATATAATCTTTATATTTATTTTTATGATGCTGTGCAAATAGCATTAAATCTTCTAACATAGTCAATGCAAAACATGCGTTTGTTTCTAATAGATCTTCAAGAATTATCATAGTTTCTTCTATATTTTTTAGTATGTATCCAAAAATGGCATCTTTAAATATGCTCAAAAAATATTCTCCATGTGTTATCTCTATGGTATCTAATCCAAGCAATACATCACTGTTTCCAATTAAATTTATTAATTTTTTTGTTATCGATGGCTGAAAAAATTGTTTTAGTTAGAACCAAAAAATAAAACATACTTTTCTAAAAAATTATGATAATAATATTACTTCTAAAATACAATATCACAGATTTCTATATATTATGTGCATATATTTAAAGAGAAGTTAATTTACCTTATAAGTAGTAAGAAACAATGTCATTACACTCTGTAAATATTCTATTATTTGTGTATGAAAACCAACACAAACAGAAATTCCAGCTTCTTCTTTTGACAAAGATTTAAAAATATATTCAATATCACGTTCAAAATTATCAAAAATTTGTTGATCCTATAATACGCAATGTACAATAAAAACACGCTATATAACATTATTAACTAGAAAATAATATTTGTATTAATGCTTACCTTACACAATTGAGAAAGAATATTACAATTTTCTAATAAAATAAGACCTTTTACATAATCCCAAATTTCTGTCGATATTTTATCATTATTCTCATGCAAAGTTAAAAAGGTAGCACAATGTTTCATTGCATAACTTTCTATTTTTCTTTTAAAACAATACTGTAACGAATCATTCATTTTTTGTACGAGTACTTGCAGTAACTGTTCTAACAATATTGGTAATTGCTCATTTATCGTAACATTCCTCATGTCGAATCCTAGTGCTTGTGGGCATATTATACATTTAGCTATTAATTCAAATAATTCTTCATTGAGAACAAAATCTGGTATAATGTCTATATTTAAATTGAAAAGAACTTGAATAAAATTGAATATTCTCATTATAATTTTACATTGCAACGTTTGCAATTGTTCAATCTCTTTAGAAATAACTATTTTATCTTTTTTTTCTATCTTAGTTTCCAGCAATAAGTGTACAAAATTTCTTATATAATCAAAAATAATATCTTTCTCAGGATTAATATCGGTAAATAAATAATCCATATTGATTAAGCTGTTATTTATCAACCATATATAGCAGTCCAAACTCTTCGAAAGCAATAACATATTTTTAAAGGAAAGATTTTCTCCTTTTACTTTTAAATCTTTCAATATTATACAATTAATTTCTTGTATTCCATTTTTCTCGATATAAGATTCAATGACTTCTGTTGGCGAATTATAATTAAGAAGATGTTCGGAAATCTGAATAAACAATTCCATACTTTTTTGTCTGCAATTTGGATCTAAAGATCCACATTGAGTAAATAACCAATTAACAGCATCAGTTAATGTTCTTCCTGTAAATGCAGATGGTTTTCTACGCAATGAATTATCTTCATTCAATAAATCTGCCTTAACTTGTATAACTTTATTAATGTGGTTAAGAGCATTATGTATTGAGATATCATTGTATCCTTCTAGACTTTTAATAAAACAATATAATAGCTCTAACCAATATATTGTAATTATTTCTTCATGTTCACGCATAATTCTATAAAGATGATTAAAAGCCGTAGCTGCTGCCATACGTTTGCTTTTAGAAGGATGTACTGCAAAATTAGTTATCTTTCTTATGATGTCACGAATATGTCCATTGTGTTCGTTTGTCTCTGGAAATTGTCTCAAAGACCAATCTATAAATTCTGATAAACATAAACCAGAAAATTCTCTGACAGATGACTTTTCATTATTGCATAGACCGTCAAAAAGTAAATTTATAAACAATGCAGTTATAAGCGATTTAAACATAAATTGTGAGCTCAACCAATGTGACAATTGTATCATTAATGGTTGAAAAAGTTTCCACACAACTTCATCGGAATCACAACTAAGATCAAGTAATACTGGATATAATGTTTCATATAAAGTAGCAAAACGATCTATATCTACTGTTAAATGTTGCTTTGCTTTACCAAGAATAAATGAAACCATTTTATGAAGTAATTCACTTGCAATTACTTTTGTGCGTCTATCTCCAGAACTTTGAGCCAAAGTTATCAATCTGGGAAGAATTTTATCAAAATGAAATTCTATCCTCAAATCTGGAAAATACAGCATACACTTAAGTAAATCTTTCTTATCCCAAGTTGATCCTGTATTTAAAGTTCTTCTATATACGACATCTGATAAGACATCGGAATCCAGCGAGCCAAAAAATAAAAGGATTCTTCTTTGAAGTTTTTCTAATGCATTCTCATTATCAATTAAAGTTATATATTTAACATTTTTTCTCTGAGACTTTATAATATCTTGTAATAATTCAGTAGAGCTTTCGTTGCTTTGCAGAAATAATTCTAAACTTGGTATTATTTCTAACAAGAAATCCTTCGTTTTTTCTCGATCTAAATGAGATATCCATTTTTCCAAAGTATCAAGTATAACAGAGGCAAGATCAAAATCGTTTAAACCCATCGTAATAGCAATTTTAAATGTAGGAATCGTACGATTCAATACATTTGGTACATATTTAATTGGTATACACATAATTAAATAAAGACAAGCAGTCAATAACTCATTGGAAAAAGTAATAATCTGATCTAAAGTATTTATCAAATACTTATACACTAATTCTTGTATTTCGGTATTATTATCATCTTCATTATCTAGAGTAGAAAATATTTCAGAATTCTTCATGATTGCATGAACTAATTTGTAAAATCCTGATATCAAAGGATATTTGTAAGACATTCTAATAATTTCATATAAAAATTTATATATTGTATTTTCCAAAAGAAATGGTTCAATCCGATTAATTATATCAATCATAAGATCCACCATATTAAGAAATATTCGGAAATCTTTTTCATTTTCAGCAGTTTGAGAAAAAGCTATATCAGAAAGAATACAATCGTTCTTTATCCTGGTATTTAAATTTAATTTAGTTATTAAAGTAATATAGATATTTATTATTTTATCAAAAACTTGTTGTGGTATTAATATCTCTTCATATTTATATCTACTTGGTTTCAACAATTCCAACCATAAAGGCAAATAATTCTTGTAACAAATTGGATTTTTTGAAAGATTATGTAGTTCACCAAGCAATTCAGCATCAATCCGTAACGTATGTGAGCATGTCCATGCAATTCCATCAAGAACTATAGAAAATTAAAATATAATAGAGAATAATAGATTATTGTATTATAAATAAAGTTAAAAATAATATATATAAACTTACTTATATTATAAAGAAATTCATCTAATAATATCTTGTTTATGGAAGCAATATTAATTAAAGTTTTAATTAAAGACGAAATTGCATAAGTTTTACGTATTCCAGAGAAATCAGGATACCTTTTGATAGAAAAAACGCTAATTTTTATTAGGAGGTTTATTTGTCCAATAGACACATCTGATACGTGACGAAGTATTTCTGATAATGCTTCTTGATAATCAGTAATATTTTCAAACTGTGCCTGTTCCATATTTTCCCTAAAATACAAATAAGTAAAATACAGTAGCAATTTTGAATACCATATGCGTAATATGTATATCTGTTGTAAGAACATAATAAGAAAATTACTTTAAAAACAAAGAAACTGTATAGCCCGCGATAAGTAAATACATATCTTTGACATCATTATGAAAATATATTTTACAAGGAGCAGCCAATTTACTAAATCCATATACTACAAGTCTTAATGAATTTGGATCTAATGCCGGATCCATCAGTTGTTCTTTAAAAAGATTTTTAAAATACTGAAAATTAACACATACATATATCAGATTTATTAAATATATAATATTATTAAATTGATAATGAAATATACAAGATGTGTATCCCAGTTTTGTTCTGCAAAACATATTCAATAAATTAAAATAATAAAATGAAAAAAACTGGGATACCTCGTATATTTTTATTGTATGAGAAAATTTATTACCAAAAATACTGCTTTATTTTTGTCTTCGTCGCTAGATTTTAATACAATTTCTAAATTGTTGTAATAAGCTTTTAATGCTTCCTGTCCGCATTGTCCATGCGCACTTTTCTCTTTTGTTAAATTGTAAAATAATTTATACCAATATTTATAATCATTATATACAAATGTAGAAAATAGATTTATATTTTTAGATAAAAAAACAATTGCTGTTCTTGTGATATACTTTTTTGCTATATTTGGCATGCTAAGATATTTGATCCATTTATATAACTCTGCATAATATTCTGAACCTATTTCTTCAGGTGTGTAAAGATCATTTAAGATATTAGTTAGAACTTCCAAATAAATTTGAATCTCGTTAGGTAGATTTTTTAATAAAGGATTATACTGTAAATATAAATCTATGTTATTATAATGTTATAAACACGTCTATGCATATATACAATATTCAAGTAATAGTGCATTATACCTGACTTTTAAAATCATTAAACAGTAATTTAAAAATGTCATTTTTATATTTCTGCAAGGTTGGAACTTGCGGATGATGCTGTGCTATTATTCCAAAAATAGAAAAGATAAAACTTCTTTCTGTAATAAAAATATATACCCATAAGTAGTTATATTTATATTTTGTTTAATAATCATTACTATTATTTTCAATGTGTTAAACGGCATACCTTTAATAGGGAGTTTATAGAATTTAGAAATAAATTTTTTAACAGTTTCATCTAAATTTAACTCATTTTCCTCAAATTTTTCTATTAATTTTTTCAAAGTACTGCAAGCAGACCTTTTAATATACATGGAACATTGCATAATAAGTGCCAATTGGCAAATATCCTAAACAGAACAAACAAATCAAGAATATTTTATTTTAAATTATGAATCTACACAATTATATGATATTTATTATTATATAAATATACAAATTAGATTCATACTTTAACCGGTTGAACATACTGATGAAATATCATATGAAGATTGTCTATAATAAATCCAATTATTGAAAATACTTCTATAACTACATTATCAAAAAGTCTCCTTGACACTGGCCTGTTAAGCTCGTTTTTGAGAAAACTGAGCAATCCTTCGTCATTATTAAAAAGATTAGACAATGCTTGTTCTACATAGAAGAAAAAATTTGTGATTTAAATTAATATGAAATATATTAATGTTGATGAATATTCCCAAATGCTTACTGCTTTCATCTGTTGTTAAACTTTGAAAGTATTTATGACTATCCTTTAAGAATTCTACTAAATCCTTGGGATTATTTTCTTTTGTGCATCTTACAAAAATTTCCATAAATGACGAAATCGACTCCATGTTTAAAATCCACAAAATTATTTAAATTATAAAATATGTACAGTGTGTACTGAATTAGTTTCCAAGATATAAATAGGTTACAATATTTTTAGTAACATTTTACACATGATAAATACGACAATATTATTATCAGTTGGCTTTAGTTACTCGAAAGTTCATCGCCGCAAATATCAAATCATACTAATGTTCCCGCCACCCCTATTCGCAACCCTTGTACCTTATTTCGTTAAAATCTATTCTAATATTATCTTCATAAATGCAATAATAAAACCATAAAATATAATCGTTATTAATTCACATAATGGGCACCTATTTATAAACTGTCACAGATTACCAAGCACTAGATTTGTTAGTATACCATCACGGCTGTCATTTTGTCATGATGACAAAAAAAACATAACCTATCTAGAATATTATATGTTTAATTATATTATTATTATTGATACATGAATTGCATTAAAAAGAATATTTTTAAAACTATGTCAATTTTCTATAAATAATAATCTACAATAATTACAAAATTAATTTGTACTATTATTTATAAATAGGCATATTGTCAAAATATAAATTTGCCATCTAGCGATAACAAAAAATATTACAAGCACACATTGGTATATGAAGGGTGATCCAAAAGTTACGCAACTTGTGACTTGTTGATCCACAGGTTTTTTATTTTTTTTTTCATTATTGTGAAGGAATTATATTACACCCTTGTTAGATAAAACTTGATAAGCATTCTTTCTTCATTCCATCGAATATAATATTGTTATCTTCTTTTAAATAATTTATCAATTGATTTGTTTAACTTTTTATGAGTCACTCTATACAGTGATGCTTTCTCAATTTTATCAATCGGTTTGTGATAAATTTATTTTCTATTTCGATTTCTATTTTGAATTACGAATAATAAGAAATAAGGATTTCATTTAAGTAAAAATAATTTAATGAATAGGTATAATAAATATTTATTTTTTGATACATAAAAATAGCACTTCAAATAATATTTAATAGTAGTTTGGAACGACAATAGATATAATAAATATTTATTTTTTGATACATGAAAACTTGATAATAACACTTCAAATAATATTTAATAGTAATGTTTAAAACGACAATCTTGTAAGCCAAAGAAAATTATATTATATTATTCATTTTTTAAAGAAAAGAACTAAAATTTTTATTTGAATAAATATATTTAATATCGATGAAGATAGAATAGGAAAACCAAAATGTACATCTTATAATCAAATAAGATGACTTTAATCAACAATTAAAATAATAATTTATCAACATTTTGATTTCGCTACTTTATCAACCTCTTCAACGATTGACATGAATTTGCGCCATTGTATCATATTTAAACAAATACCTGCGTTCAGAAAAAACATCTATTAATTACTTATTATTAATTATACATTACAAATGTTCTTTTTATCAAAATATAAATCAAATTAATATACTCTATATACCTTTTTTAGTTGGCTTTAAATCTCCTTCTTTATCAAGGTACATTTCTCTTATATCAACAAAGAGTTTTCCTTTAAAATTACGAACATTTACTTGTCGTCTGCCACCTAAATCCCATACGTCTTCCTCATTATTCTTCGGTTCTTCCACTACTTTAGTTTCTTTCTTTGACTTTTTATTTGCAATAGCTCTTTCTCCTTTTTCTGTTCTCTGTTTCTTCTTTACTTGTTCCTTTTAATTATTACAATGTAATGGAAAAATGAACTAAAGTCATTGAAAATAATGCGGACTATTTAGAAGAATAATAGATGTATTACTTTGTAAATAAATTTGTTTAAAAAGCACCGAATTAAATTCTACATCTAATAGAATAACTGTTCGTTTACACCACCAATTACAGGACACCCTGTATATAAACTTATATCCGAATAAAATTATTTTTTACGTTGTATAAAGCAAATATTGTCACAAAATATTTGAATAAAGAAAATTTGAATGTAAAAGTTCTTAATGCAGAATACATGCAATTAAAGATAACTCTAAATAAACATAAAACATAAATTACCCCTTCGCTGTCGCTATCACTATCGCTCGAAACATATTCCTTTGATTTAGGCATTTTACAAATTAGAATCTCTGTAATATAAAAGCATTAATTAACGATCGAAATTGATAAAAGTTTGATTCAATAACTTAATACTTTCAGAAGATATTTTTTTATAAATTGTATGCAACAATATGTTACTTTAATATGCTTATATATTGAATATTAATTATATTTTGGTAAATTTTATTAAACAATTTATCGTTGATGTAAATTAATTATGAATTAAAAAACATGTGTGTTTATATATGATATATATATATTATAAATGTATATATATAAACATGATTCTATTATATATTATACAGGATATACTCTAAAATATTAAAATAAAAAACAAACTATTTATATTTAATTACTTAAATTTAAAATATACTTACATATTCTTAACAAAATTTGTTAGCCCTTTTCTTCAGAAAACCGTTTCAGTTTCTAATATCGGACTTGGTCGTTTTACATTAAACTTTCTTTCTATTCGTTATATTTCAGTGTGTACTGCTTTTATGCACACATGCATACACGCATGCATCATAGCAAAATACATAAAATAAAATCAATATTAAAAAGTGATAATTATGTCATGTATTTATATTATATCAATAAAGATAGAATGTTGAATTATTAAATTATTAATTAAATGTTTTTATATTTTTTTTTTTGTTAAACAATTATCATATTAGAAATTTGTCCAATTTAATAGCAAATCATTTTTCTGATCAAAAATAATGCAAGTATGCAAGCGTTGACTATTGGAAATTCGTCTTTCGAGCGAAACTAGCGACATCTATTTCTCGAAAGATAGTATATATTCAAGAGAAAAAGCAAAGCTTAGAACTGTATTTCTTGTTCTTATTGTCGCGTGTTTTGTAGTCTGTGAAAAATTATATTCAAGTTAATACATCTTTAATTAATCATGCCGAAAAATAAAGGTCAGTAAATTAAGTATTTTCTATTTTAAAAGCTTATATTTAAATATAATATGTGCATGTGCATTTTTTTATTGTATTTTAATTATAATTATTGATCCATGCTCGATATATTTTATTATCAATTACTTTATCTTTCTAGGAAAGGGAGGTAAAAATAGGAGAAGAGGTAAAAATGAGAATGAAACAGAAAAGAGAGAGTTGGTGTTTAAAGAAGATGGTCAAGGTACAATGTCAAACATACAAATATGTCTGAATTGATCTATAGGTTATTGTTTGATTATATAAAAATAATATTGAAATTGTTCTCAGAGTATGCTCAAGTAACAAAGATGCTCGGTAACGGCAGGTTAGAAGCTATGTGCTTTGATGGTGTAAAACGATTGTGCCACATAAGAGGAAAACTGCGTAAAAAAGTTTGGATCAATCAGGGTGATATCATTTTAATTGGTCTTCGGGATTACCAAGATACTAAAGCAGATGTTATTTTAAAATATACATCTGATGAAGCTCGAAATTTGAAAACATATGGTGAATTTCCTGAAACTGGTAAGTATACAACCAAATGTAAACAATTTTGTTTACAGAAATTAAGTTTATGATATATTAATTTTAAAAGCATCGATATTTGATAATAAAAAAATGTTATTATTTCAGTACGCATCAATGATACTGTTACCTTCGTTGAAGATGGTTTTGATGAAGACATCGAGTTTGGTGATGAAATCAGTGATGATGATGAAGATGATGTAGACAACGTAAGTTGAAAAATAAAAATACTTTAATGTGTCGTGTGTTTGTGTGCTACTATAAAATAACATACAAAATAATTATACACGCATTTACTTTTACAGATCTGATGATATATTATACAATCAGATGCAAAATATGGTGTCAAATGGTATAGGAGTATCTATTTATTTCAATAGATGCAACTATGGAATCTTCATTAAAACAGCAAATTTTGCTTCTAATAAGTAGCCAATTTTTCTTGTATCTATGAATAAAATAACATGTTTCCAATTAATATTATACTTGTTTTGCAATAGTATTATTTTTTCAAGTTTTGTCAGAGATATATATATATATATATATAAATATTTTGTATCTAAATTATGTCACGCATCAAAGTAATATTATTCATCGTTGTGAATTAATTTATAGATATTTTTTTTTTATATAGATTCATTTAAAGTGCATTATATTGCTGTAAAATTAATAGAGATGTAAGTAAGCAATATTATTGTATGTACCTCTATTTTAGTTTTTCCTTTGTATATCAGAGTAAGTAATTTGATGATATGTGAATGCATAATCACTTTAAACGAAAGAAAAATAGTATATATACATATATATATATATATGTATGTATACATGTACAACGTCAATTTTTTATATGTATTATTGATCTGCATTATTAAAAACTGTTTATTAGAAAGAAGATTGTTTTACTCCGAGATAGTTCATAAACCGTTTCCTTACTTTTTAACTCTAGTCGGTCAAATATTCGTTTCTTACTAAAAAAAAATAAGATGTAAGCTAAACCAAATTCTGCTTAAATTAAGAACTTTAAATTAATGATCACTAGAGTTAAACAATGATAGTCATGGCTAGTACTTAGATGTTTGACTGCTTTGGAACACCGTATGCTGTTGACTCTAAGAAGGTGTTGTCAAGGTTTTCATAATAAGAAGAGTAATAAAGATATACATATAACTTAAATAAAGAAATCAATAATTCGACTTTCCTATACAACGATAACGTATTAACAGCAGACTCCATTATAATCAAAAGGATCAAAAATAAAACGTATCTTGCTTATCTAATTTTTAAATATACTATATAAATGTTCTGAACGATGTGAAAAGGAAAACAAATTTGTTTCTATCGATTTTAATGATAATTTCTATTGAATCATTTATTTCATCAATGATATACTTACCAAATGTTGAAATTGATTGCATGCATTCACAAGCGAGTGTTTTTAATATTTTCTTTGAATATTGTATTATTATTAATTTTAGATTATAAGACTTCTATATGGAATGAATGTTATTACTTTAATGAGATTTAAAACATGACAAGAAACGTTACAGCATAATTTGTGCTTTATCTATGAATAAAAGGACAAGACAAAACGAATTCTGCCTTTCTTCGTTCTTGTTTTTTTTCTTCTTTTTTAATACATTATAGCTTCATTAGAACATTTTGTTTATTATGCTGTCATTAATAATTCAACCACACAGTGCTATATACGTCGTACCTTCTCTTTTTGGTTGATATAATGTCGTGCAATGCCTTTACAATATTATAACTTAACACATGATATATTAAATAGCAGAGACACATGTATAATAGCACAGAGTAAAATGGATATTGCTGATTGCGTGCATGTCATGTTACTCAGAAAAAGTTGACTGTACAAAATTATGGGATTTGTGAAAATTACTAATATGCGAGATTGAAAATTAAATACTTCTTAGATCTATGTATCATGTAATATATAAGATATATTACAAGAAATAATGATATACTATAGATTGGTCTCTTTAACTTACTGTAACAATGCATAACAAAGTAGAAGATATTAACCCTTTGACGTAACTTTGTCGTTCTTGATTTTTATACACTAATATAACTTACCGATTTATGGAGTTCTTTTTTATCGTCATTTTGATTATGCTATTGCGCAAAATCTGCCGGTAGAATTGGATAGAGTTTTATCTTTGTAAAAGTTGTTCTATTTCTTTAATAGATTTATCCGCACTTGAATAGATAGCAAATATCGAATATCGTCAAAGGGTTATTTTAAATAGTCGTCCCGAATTGTGTAATAAGTATGTTATAGTAATCACTTTTGTATTTACGGGAACGTTTTTCTTTTAGCAGACGTTAATGCGTGTTTGCACATAAATTATGGAAAATAGTCATTTTTTTTCGGTGTAATCCGTAGTTTGAGTTATCCAGAATGTTTAAATAACCGGTATCACAACATTTGTGAAATTACACTAAATGTTACAATACATTGGAGCATAATATTTCATTCACTTTGATGCGCGCGTGATTGTGCCTTTGGTCCTTAGGTCAAATAGGCTCTAGGCAAGTCTATTAATTGTAGTTTAACAATCATTACAAGTAATAAGTTATAAACTTCGTATATGTAATAATTATATCTTTCAATGTATCATATATGAATCGAACGCCTTATTCGTAGCATTCTTTTCAATACACATATGCATGATTTTTCCTCCTACTTTTTTCTTCAAATTTGTGTTGTACATTGAAAGCTAACATTGTTTATTATTTATTGAGACGAATTCAAACCAATAGATTTAAACAATATATTTTCTATAATTATCGTGCTGCCTCGTTTCTTTTTTCTTTTTATAGTTTATACAATTCATATGGACAGATTGCCAACAACATTACTCTCGTTTCAAAATTTTACGCATTTAACATTATACCAATGATTTATTCTCTTCTTATTTTTTTCTTTTCTTTTGCTATATAAATAAAATATTCGTGTTATAATCTTGTCATTATTACAACTGTATAATAGTACATTTTGTATAAGTTACGCTAAGAAATTATATATATATATTTAATTATATATATGTATATATATATATATATAATTAAAAATTGTTAGGAAATATTCTTTTAAATAAGTTACATTTATATTGCGCCTCGATCAATAAAAACATTCGTTTCTCGTTGTCAATCGAATCAAAAACGACTTTTCGATCCTTCAATTTATTGTGCACTTATTGTTCAATTCGTTTCTGAGACGAGCGACAACAAGATCATCTGTGTGAAATTCATTGACGGAAATATATATATATATATATATGAATAGAAGTTTAATGTTCTAATTAAGCGATGTATTGCGCAAATAGACATTACAGTCATTCTAAAGCTAAAGCAGACTCCCCAGCGACCATTTAGCAAAGCCGCAATGTAAAATCTGTCGTTTTAATTTCGCCATTTAATTCGAGATTTCATTATACACTATAAATATAGTATTTGCTTTCGCCATGGCATAATATCGTTCGTTTCGGATAAACGTCGTCTATATTTGTCATCGTTTCGTTTAATTATCTTCTTAATTTTTTGTTATCATATCTCAATACGATTTTTATTGTTGTTGTTGTCCGATCGATAACATTGATTTACCTCGAAAATTTTCTATTTGAAGGCAAAACGATTCGTTTCTTTATCTTGCTTTGAACAACACGAGAGAAGGCGTTGTACGTGGACGGGTTGGCATAGTGAAGACTAGCAAGAGCTAGTCGGACTAGCAACGACATATACATACATACATATATTATCAATAATAATTACGAGTTCAAACGCAAAATATTATAAGGCAACGAAACGGAACGGAAGGGCAAGCAAATTCGAAGCGTAGGCCATAAGCGACGCGACGATATAACGTCTTACAATACATAGTACGTAGTATATGCCTTATTTATTTATTTCTCGGGTAACGTCGCCGCGAGAATGAAGAGCTTGTATTTTTATCGGATATTGAATTTGAGTGGGGTGCTTTCTTCGAACAGACGTTTCGTTAGGTCAACGCGAAAGAGAATATTATAATCCCATGTTAGAGAGATTTTACATCCCTTTGACGATATAATTTGTTTCTTTTTTTTTTCTTTTTATTATTATAATTATTATTAATATATTATTATTATTATTATTATTATTATTATTATTATTATTTTATTCTTTTTATCGCGTTTCTCATCTTTCACATCTTCACTGGCCCTTCCTTTCCTCTGTCATAAATTGGTCGACTATTTTCTGCATGGATTCTCGCAAATCGTCCGTCACAGCTATGCCACCTGTCATCGGTGCCGTTGTTGTCGTCGTTACTACTTGCACGGTTCTTGTTATTCTGTGAAAATAAAATTCGATTAAAAAACATCTCGATACAAAAAATAATTATAGGATAGATCGTAAAGGAAAAGTTCGAGCAAAATAAAGCGAATACCTTTCCTGCGTTAAAGGATCCACTTCGGTCGTTGTGGTCTCTACAAAAGTTGGCTCGCTTTGTTGCAAAAAGTCAGATTCTGCGTAACAAAAGAAAATTAGTCAACTACTTTATTGTAAATATGTAAGCACTTTTGCTATGTCGATTGTTCACATGAAGACAAGTACCAATCTTATACCTTTCAATTTTACATCATGCCCAAAAACAAGGGGTAATAATACTAGACACATATAAAAAAAAAGTTGCAACATCGCTAAACATTTGACGATACATAATAAATATATAATACGCATTTTCGCTCAACCAGCCAAACATTATGCAATTTTTTATAATTTCTTTTCTTTATACAAGTATTTTTTAACGCTTCTTATAGACACGTTTAAATTAGATACTTCGTGTGGAAAATACGTTGCACGTGATTGATATTGCCTCGATGTATTCAAACGGACTTTTTATATATTTCAGTGCGACGAGCCATATGATACGGACAATAAACAAATTTATTTCGATTCATTTTTTTTTTATATATATATTAATAAATAAGTAAGGAAATGAGTTTATATATTATTATTGAGTCTATGTAAATTAGAATTGAATTTATGTTGTTGACAACGATCCTTAGAAATTATAAACGCGTATTTCGAGAATGATTTTCTTCCAATACATATTAGATATTGGCAAGTAGCACTGTCGTGTCAGCGCTCAAAAAATGAATGCTCATTTAAACTGAGATAAACAAATGATTTTCTCAGTATAATTGTGCTGCACGCAGCGAGCTCGTGTAAAGCGCCGATAAAAGCTGCCGAATAAAGCATTTAGCAGTTAGTTGTAAGAGATACGAGTACTCAATATATTATCAGTACAATCAAAATATAGGTTTTTACGTATATTTTGCAATACGATCTAATAGGAGTTTTCATCGGTCGAACTGAAGCAAGAACAACGAGTACATCAATAGAAATTCATACTACTGAAAATTAAGCCGATGAGATATTGTTTTATTTCAATGCTACTGTCACAAACGATTTAGTGCAATGTGCGAAATCTCGAAATCTAATTACATCTTCACCACATTAACGTAATAATAGAAATATATTTATCGTCTGATGTAATCATCAAAAATAATCGTGTGTGTCTCTCTCTTTTCGTTGATACTATTTTCATATCTCTAGTATTTTTTTCATTGTTCCATGAAAACAATTTGATTACTTACTATTTTCGACCAAGGGAAACACTCTTTTTCTTTTCTTTTCTAACTGTTTGTATCACATACGCTCAGAATACTAATCGAAAATTGATAAAGGGGCACGTACTAACTACATTAGTTAGTATTGTTAGACGAACGGTCAAATAATACTGGAATATTATATTGCAAGCTTTATATTAGCTATACTTAGCGAAGGAAATGTGCATTTCTACAAGCTTAGGATCTTTCGTTTGACATATGCTAATTATATTAGCGTTTTGTACCTGCGTTATTGAAAAGAAAAGGAAAGTTACATTAGTTCTCACGTTAAAACTCACTTATTTCGGCATATAATAATAAAGTTAATTATCAATGTGATCTCGGACGATCTTCTAATCCAGAGCATTTTGTAATGGGCAATTTTTAATCCTCTTACGTATATATGTAGGTATACATTTATGTATTTAAGTGTATGTATATATATATATATATATATATATATTTGTTGTATATACTATATACACAAATAAAGGCTTACTTACATGACGATTCGCCTAACAATCCTAACGTGACTAAAAACACGATTGTTGGTCCCTCTACATTTTAGCTTTATCTTGCGTGGCTTATTGTCAGAAGAGCTAGAAGGGTAAAAGAACTAAAAGGATGCTTAAGAGAATGAGATGTATCGAACTTTTCTCAATGTGTACGTGCACTAGCTGATAAACGCTTGAAAATAATTAATTATTAATCATCTGCCTTTTGAGATGAAACACAAGACTACACATAACTATCAGATGCTACATGAGTATATAACGTTCAAAGGAGTGATAGGGAATGTCATGCGAAAAAATAGTGCTAATAATCAAAAAAACCATGCAAAACAACAGTTGATAATAATCGTTTAAATAGACGGCAATTATGAGAAAAAGAAAGCTTGCATATTCTTTCCATATTGAAAACTTTATTCCTCCATGCACCTGCCTTAAGAATCAAAGTTACCTGTTCAATGTATGTAAATTGTAGAATATCATTGTAGAGGATACACCTGTGTCGGTTAAATTGTATTATATGTATGTATATGTGTATGTATGTATGATCTTGCGTGTTTTGTAGATGCATGTCCGTTAATATATAAGTTTTATTGTCATGGTAGGATTAGAATATATAGCAACGGACATTTTCTAGACACGATGACTGACTGGCCAAATATTTATCCGAAACTTTGTCTGAATAACACCTTTACAACCACTGAGATTTTCCTGCATTTAGAGAAAAATGATGAAAGATTGTAGAAGTCATTAACATGAGAATATGCTATAAATTTGTGATTCAAAGTATTCCTCGCAGGAGATGTCAGTTGATTATCAATAAATACTATCGATTGGATGTAACTGCAATCGGAATAATCTAATTGTTAATACAAAACAACGTATGTAGGTATTTTTAAATTTGATTATATACATTTTCCTATGTATTAAGCCGAAACACATTTTATTAAATCGGGCAGAGTGTAAAAATTTAGGCAGTAAAAAAAAAAAAGCGCGACTCGTTGTGGGGAACCGAACTTTCGTTGTAGCAACGTGCTGTTTAATTGCGAGCTAATTAAATATATCCAATATCTACAACCCCCTACAGGATATAAATAGAATATCAAGTTTTGTTCATTTAATATGCATTTTATACGGCAATGTTCACGGATAGGAAAACTTTATTTTTTTTTAATCGTTAAAGATGCGCATCGAAATGTTAAAATTTCTTTTTATAAGTGGTATCGAGGTAGAGTTAATATTACAAATTTAAGCTCGACCTGAGTGGTTACTTTATAGAGAAGAATAAAATGAAGGGTATAATCGTACCCAGCTTGCCTCGGGATATTGTTAGAGAGAGTGTAGATGGCACGTTGGAATGTACGTGGCTCCACGGTAAGTAAAAGTGCTAGTAGGACCATCAATACAGCAGCTGCTGCGCTCATCCAACAAGCACAGCTCGTCCTACCGGTAGTCTTCGTCCTAGGCTTCGTCTCTATCACACTGCACTGCATGCTCGAGCAAACTGATCGTACCGTACTGTCTGTTTCTGTCACTTAAAGATTATGCCTTTCGTAAATTTCTTTCAAGCTTATGGACTTCTTATAATTGCTTTATTATTTTTATTTTTAATTTCACGATGTCTCCCGTTCCATATATAATTAGTATGAAGAAACAGCAGGCGAGTAATAATGTCAATCACAACATAACCGATCTTTTCGTTTTTCCCAAAGTTATTGAAACATTTCTTTATACGAGATGTGAAACGATTATATTAATGAAATATAATTTATTGAATAAACTGAGAGATACTTATGTTCGTTTGAAAGATATTTCATGAATATTCGATTATGTTTAATGAAGTAATGAAAGCTGATTAATGAAATAGGAATTATTTACTTGTTAAATATCTTTGTTAAATACCTTACGTTTATTAAACAAAAAAAAACCTATTCTGAATGAGAAATGAAATGTTCTAATTAATTTGAATACACAAAAAAATGTGAATAGTCGAAATGTAATATAAGTTACTCGAGCGTATTTGCCATTTCATTATACTAATAACAAGAGCACGAAATTGAATGTACAAACACGCCATATTGCAAGTGAGTTTTCAATGATAATACATTAGCCCCAGAAGCCCCTCATGACAAATTTGTCCATATCGCAGCAAAGACCAACGGTAGGAAGGCAAAATCTTTTTTTCACCGATAACATTTCCAAATAACGAAGCACGTTAATCCGAGCAATACACCGTAGGACGCATATCTTACCCATGATATGTAATATAGGAGCCACACACGTATATAAGTTTGTGATCCTGGTACACAAGCTTTGTTTTTCTTTGCAACCAATTGCAATTTTTTAAATTTGCACCATACAAATACCGATTACCGGCCCTACACCTCGTACGGTAAAAAATGCATCAAATTAAAATACACCGTAGAGAGATCTTAATGTCATGCAGTTCCCTTTTAAGACATTGCTGACCAGTGCGCGCACATATACTACTTCAAGATCAGAAATAAAAGTAATAGAAGCGTTGCCACAGGTGTCGCACCAACTAGATTCTCTTCTAAAAAGAATATTGTAACTAACCGAATGATATATAACGATATAAGTATTATTATATTATATATTATATTTATTACGAAGAAGAGATCAATATAGAGTAAATGTCGACAAACGCCTTTTTAATGATCCGAAGGGATAAAGAGTCCAAATATATGCCAGTTACAACTTCATCCCGTAGAAGAGTGAACTGTTGAAATTAGAACGAACTACAAAATACGTAGCTACGTTCCGGTGTTGAATAACAGAGGCCTGTGCGAGATTGCGTGTACATGCGAAATATATAAAAAAGCAAATGAAAAATAAAGCATACCGATATAATAAAATACTCTATGTACGGACGCAATTACGTATCCGAGGTAACTGGTTAGCGGGATTCGTACATTGCTTACTTAGAAGGTTAGCTGTGAGTGCGGTACCTTGGTCGTCCTCCAATGGGGACAGTTCTGCACCTTCGTGCAGTGCTACGTCCGACCCGCTAGAACTGCCCAAAGTACGTCTCTTGCATGGGGATCTTCTTCTTGGCCGAGGTGAACCATCACTATCTGTGTCGCTGTTCAATTCGTGCCGCGAACTATCGTTCTTTGTATAAATGTCACCGTTACCAGAACCAGGTGACGTGTCTAAAGATAGCTGCGTTTCCCATTGCTCCGAATTATTAATGGAGTATTCTGCCGCAACAGCTTGCGCCCATGTGTCACGTTCATCGCTTTCCGATTTTCCAGCTTTCACGTAACCCCTATCAATATCGCATTCCGACGTCTTCATGTCCGATGAAAAGAATGGATCATCCGATCGATCATCGCCAGTTCTCATAGATTCTAACATCGATTGACTTAATTTTTCCGAATAAAATGGTCCAGTAAAATGCCTTATCGTTGTTACTCTTTCTATGAATGTTCCATCTTCGTTTGTTTTCATACTTTGACTACTACTGTTACTTGTATTTAATCCTATATTAGTTTGATCTTCGCTAATTTGTCTAAGATCAGGGGAAACTTCGGTGATTCTAGTAGTTTCCCTTTTAACAACTTCCGTAGGATATCCGGAATCTGTTATTTCCATCGTAGTAGTTACGGTTTTGACAGTCTTTAATATTTCATCCATTTGCATGAGTTCCTTTAATTTGTCGGGATCGATCGTTTGATCCGAGGAAGACACGATCGTTGTCACCGTAGTATAAGTTTTATCAGACTCAAATACTTTCGATGGATACATTTCGATGTTTTCCTTCTTCGTCAAATATTCAGTCTCTATAATATCCTTATCTTCGTCGATAGGACGATTGGTATTTAATTGCGACAGAGTCTTATGATCTTTGTCTAACAATTCATCCTTCGTAATACGTACTACATCGGTTGATCTTAACAAAGGAATATGAGATTCCATCTTTGACCGGGTACGAATATCTGATTCTATACTTTTACTAATTTTGAGATTTTCTTCTTCTTCTATCTGTTTCCTTATTTTCACAGGAATCTTGGATTTAGGGCTGCTTTTTTCTGGAGATTCAGGAGAACGTTCGTATGGTTTCTTTATTTGAAAACCATGTGGTGTTCGTGAAGCGTCTCCAAGATCTAGATGAAAATCAGCTTTGGCGGACGACTTGGTGGTGAAATGACGTGGGGCGGGAACAGGTTGCTTTGTTGGAGCAGAAGTAGCATGCCTCTCTACAGTCCCATCAATCTCAGCCGAATCATGCCCTGACCCATCCAAAAGGACATGGACAAGAACAGGAACAAGGACATAAAGCACATTGATACACACTAAGAATTGATCACTTTAATCCAACTTAGGGAGTTGGACTTAAAGATTCAGCGTGTCTGCTTGACATTCATATGCGTGTGTACGCGCATACCCACTAACAGGCGCGCGCGCACACACGCACGCTCACGCGCATTGTTTCCGCATGTACGTGGGTGTGTACGTCGCACTTCTACGGTAAGTTTAGTTAGTATCAATACTGGAACAGGATTAGTTTGTTTATAAAAAAAACACTCATTAAACAGTGTCTAATTGTGACGCTTGAATCTTACTAAAACGGACCATTATAAAGTTTACTCTAAAATATATGTTTTAATATATTAAAAAAAGCTTTTCTATAGTATTAGAAGATAAGTGATTTTTAATTTATATATAATAGTTATAATTCATTTTTTTTTTTTTGACTAAGGATCTAGGAAGAGATATTTTAATTATTGTTATATTATATAAGGATATATGAAATTATTTTAATAAATACTTCTAAAAAAAAAAACAAGTTTAAATATTTTAGAATATACAGAGTGTCCTATAACTGATGGTACAAGCAAACAGGGGTTGATTCTACATGAAAAACTAAATCAAAAATGTTTAGTTCTATATGTAGGATCATCTCTTGCTCTCTTGTACCATTAGTTACCTGACAGACTCTGTTATACATTTATGAAATGACTTATTATAAATCACAGAAGTTATAAATCATATTTGTTCTTTCAACAGATTACCACTCAATAGATTAATGACCATTTTCTTGTTGCATATAAACCACTATAGTATCTAAATTACAACAATGTGTTATTCAAATTTACATGTATACTCTCTTGGGCAGATACTGGTAAATATTTAGTAAGAAACATGCGCACAGTATCCGTTAGTGTGAAAGCGTCGGCAGGTGCTAACTATGGAAGATAAAGCTAAATATAAATGAGGGCACCAAAATAGAATTTGCTAATACATTGATTTTTGACCTGTGATCTGTGTTCGTGATTATTGCGTTTCTGTTACTTCCACTTTACCTGGTTTTGTCACAGAATATGTTTGTTGAACTAGGTTTTGTGCTCGTCTTGCAGCTTCTTCTGTTACATCTGTAAAACGAGAAATGTTATTTAAATATTGACACATAAATCAAATTAACATTGAAAGCATGAAGTAACAAAGATTAAATGAATGATGTTTCCCTGCATGGTATACCTTGGTCATGCTTCTCTATAGTTGTGGTGTCCTGTTAATCCAATGAAATAAATTACGGAATAAAAAGTATGTGAATTGTATGTTATATATTATAACGAAAAAAAAAAAAAATAAGGACTTCCAAATAAAGTCTGTTACACTTAACATATATGAAAAAAATTACTTTATATGATGTGATGTAATAGTTGATAATAATATAACTTATTGTATGGAAAACCTGGAAACATGCATTAAATAAATGTTAAAACAAGATAAATATAATACGGGCTTCAGCGCAGTAAATAAAAACGCGGAAATTGTTATACTTCTTCACCAATCAAGTATATCTTTCGAACACATTCGTACCCCAAAGTATTATCTTCCGATTAAATATTATGAACTGATACAAATTTCAATGAAAATGTAATCGATCAAATTAGCAATAAGTATATGCGTAAGAATATCATTATTATTATTATTATGATTATGATTATTATTATTATTATTTAATAACGTGGATAATCTGAAATAATGTAAAAACGATCATTCCACTCTCCTCTCTATATTTTTTTGTACGAATGTATTACCTATAAATAACAAGAGTTGGTAACATTAGTGGACTGAAAGTGATTTAGATTAGAAAGTTAGAATTGATTATAAATAATGAAAGTGCACGACTAGTTTGCACGTTTTTGTATAACTATTAAAACTGAAGTTACAGAGAAAAGCAACAACATAATTAATTATGTTACACACAGCTGGAATATAATTTGAATAACGCAATTATTGCAAGATACCTTCGATTCTACTGTCAGTGAACTCGGCGAGACTGGGTGGTGGTGTTGCTGCCGTCCGCACAGACTTTGTTACGACTGTGGTGACGGATTGTCTTGTGTAAGGTTCAAGGTGCTCTGATTCACTAGATATCACAACTACTCTACCTGAACCCAAATTTGTACTTAGCTGCTCAGTTCTGTCATCCGGAGAAGTACTAATACGTTGTGGAATGCGCGAAATTTTTTTCGATCTATCCCGTGATACCAAATCCTGATCACTACTAACAATGGAACTAACTGTGTTAATACCAGGTTTGGGATCGAATGTAGATGTTGAAAAACCGTAACCTTCTGGTGTAGAATCTCCTTGTACAGGAGAAATTATTTTACTACTTATAATCGTGGTCGTTCTACCTCCAAATTGTTCATTTATTTTTCGTCTATCTTCAGATTCCCTGGGAAGGAAATAATCGTCAGAAGTAGCAGTGGTAACACTTGTAATTTTGTGTCCAGCATCAGATACTTTGGCCTCTGCCTTCGTTTTTGTATCCTTGATAGTATCTGCAGTTTTATCTTTCGAATCTTTTCCCATTTTAACTGAACGCGTTGCAGCTTCCTTTGCACGCGCCTCTTCAGCTTCAGCTTCGGCTTTGGTTTCTTCAAAGAATTCTTTCACATCATCAGTGACATCTCCTACTGCTTGTTTAGCACCTTTAATTATACCAGAGAAAAATCCAGATGTTTTCTCTTTAGCTTTTTTAGTTTCTTTCCCAGCCTTATCTTTAGCTGATTGAGCACTATCTACGACAGTATCAGCTCCAGCAATTGCAGCACCTCTAACGATTTCAGCATATTTTTTAATTTCCTTAGCTGCAGCCTCTTTTGCATCCTTTGTAGTCTCAGCTACACTGTGAGTTGTGGTTTTTATTTTATCTGTAACTATTTTCCCACCCGAAATAATACCAGCTCCTGTTGCTGTAACTGCAGAAGCTGCTTTAGTTTTTATATCTTTGACACCATCCGTAGTTTTCTCAGCAATATGTGATACCCCTTCGACTGTTTTATCTTTAACATCTTTTACACCAGTTACTGTTTTATCCGTTAAATCATGTGCCTTACTTTTAACTTCGTC